CACATTGATACAAATTTCTATCTTTGAGGGTGCAAATTGAGATTTTTTATCTTTGGGGATGCACATTGATACAAATTTCTATCTTTGAGGGTGCAAATTGAGATTCGAACTATCTTTCGGGGTATAAAATGAGATTAACCCTAATTTCTAATGAACCCCCACGCATCTATTCTAATATAATGGATACAGTTACCTTACCTTCACAACAAGGAAATCGATGGAGGAGATGGTTTTCCGTCAGGAGATCGATGGAGGAGATCTGGTTCTTCGTTAGGAGATCGAAAGGAAAACCTCTTCTTCGTCCAATCTTTTGGGCTCATGACATCGCAGGACACAGTTGTAGAGGAGAAGAGAATCGTTCCTTCGAAGCTTTGGTTGCGAGAGAGACAATTGAAAATGAATGAAAAAATACACAAAAGCCCCATATTTATGATATCATAAAAATAGTGCTATTTTGTTACTAACGGGGTCGAAGTTAAGATGTTATTAATACTAATTCTGCGTATTTTGTGTTTCGTGTATTTTTTGAAACACAAATTTTTTATTTTTATTTTTTTGTCTTAACAAAAATAAAAATAGTAATCAAACGGGTTTTTATTTTTATTTTTGACAAAAATTATAAACAAAAATACAAAACGAAAGACAGAGACACCTATCAAACAGCCCCTCGTACTCTTGTAATGGTCCACACTATGAATTTGGCTTATTCAGAATCAATGGTCATCTGACCGAACTCATATCTTGTAATGGTCTACAAAATGGTCATCTGACAGAACCACATAAAAATAATAAAAAAATCAATCGTCATCGGGCATTGATGTACGTTTCTTTCAGGGTAATGGTCACTCACAAGATCACATTTAAAAGGAGTTTTTTATGATGAGTTTAAATTTTGTCACGTAGTCGATAGGTACTTGACAAGCAGTAATCCATTAAATTGACAATGAGTTCCATAATTAGTTAAAAAATATTATCCATTCAATAATTATGATAGACTAAGTTAACAAATCAAGTTAGTAAATTAAGTTTAAATAGTAAAATTGGTTCATCTTGGTCATACCCAATAGAGAGGACATCCCATGCCGGAAATTTTCTTTATAGTTGTTGATGATATCAAAAGAAAACGTAACGTCCAGCTGTGATTACAGACAACGGACAAGGACACGATAGCATTCTAAGTCATTATATGCTAAGCAGACTTGGAAGAGTGTAATTTAGTTACGAATATCTTATGGACAACCAACAAATCAAGAATTACCAGAATGGGTAAAAGAGGACTTTCATCGGTTAACCCTACATTGGATAAGAAGACATCACATCTTGAAAGTCACATCATCACTTTTAGAAGATCGTATAACATTTAAGGGAAAGAGTTTTTAACGATCATATATTTTTCAGTATTCTTGGATAATTTGATTTAAGACCACAATGATTACCTATGTATGAAAAAGGGTGTGCACATGCGTTTTTCAAAAGAGCAGAACGATTGTACCCATATTCTTTCTCAAACAATATAAATTGAGAAACAAAAGTCTCTATTACAATGGACTAACTCAACTCTTCGGTAAGACTAACCCTTAGGAGCTTGCTTAGGCCCCCAAATTTTAGGGCCCCAAAAAATGTTGTGACCCAAATGCACTTAACCTAAAAGTAGTTTGCAAGGGTCCCTTCTGTGCAGTAGACATGCCCTTGATTGAGATCATGAATGGGTAGAATGCATTTAGCCCAAGTTCTTTTCAGGGGGCTCTATGGCACATGTGCAGTAAATTCCATTCGAATCGTGAATGGGCAACTTTATTTCTGCCTTTACGCGCTCTCTCTCTCTCTCACATAATACAAATAGCGAAAATTTGTCTGATTTCAAATTTGTATGCAGGCAAATATCAAAAGCAACATAACGAACATAAATGTTATAAATAAATAAACAAGACGCTGAGTACTAAATTATTCAATATATATAAAATAGACACACGACACGAGTTTTTCTTACTTTTATTGAGGAACACGAATGTAGAGTGGGATGGGATTGTGAGAGTTTGGGGCAGAGTCCCACACAGAGAAGGCACTGGTGGAGTTCATCCATTTCTGAGTCATCTCAGGGTAATGTCGATCCAACACTTCTTTCAAGCTCTCTGTAGTGTTAACCCATTCAAAGCCCTTCTTTGTGTATGTCTTCTCATTGAAATTGCTCGTGAAGAACCTATCTGCCTCCAACCTCCTACATGTATCAAAAGTGAAAAAAGAAATTATATTTTGATCCTCTCAACTATGACTCTAATTTTATTTTACTGTTCTAGTATTGAAGTTCTCATATTATTCATTTCAACGAACTTGAGCTGATATCACATTTTCCCAAAACCAAAAGTTCGACATATTTTGTATCAAAAAAGTCCAAATGTGAGTAAACAGTAGGTTGAATCGATATAAAATTTATAACTATGATTTGACGTGGAATTTAATAAATGAAATAGTAGAAGGGAAAATTTGAAACTAATTATCATAATTAGAGTTACAATATGATAAATGTAATAGTTAATTGGACAATAGTGAAAACACAAGACATAATTAAAAGGGTCAAAGTAATAATTTTTTAATGGTCGAATTGTATTTTTTATCTTGAAATATTTAAAAACTCTCACTTTCTACTCTCAAATATTAAAATATTCATATTACATATGTAATGTGTTAAAAATATTACAACGTAACTTTTCTATTAATTTTCATTACTTATGTCGTTAATATTAATGGATGAGTTTTGATAGACTAAGAAAGGGAAAGTAACAGAAGAGTGATATTTTTAATGATCGAGGATCCACTGTTAGAAATGGGTTACCTTGTTGCCATCACAAGGAANGATAGACTAAGAAAGGGAAAGTAACAGAAGAGTGATATTTTTAATGATCGAGGATCCACTGTTAGAAATGGGTTACCTTGTTGCCATCACAAGGAATATAATGAAAGCTGTCTCACTAATAGCGAACCCTTTGATCTTCTTCTCTGCCATGAGCCCCACTTGGAGATCAAGCTCCTCTACATCATCACCGTAAACTTCTTCAAGGGNAATATAATGAAAGCTGTCTCACTAATAGCGAACCCTTTGATCTTCTTCTCTGCCATTAGCCCCACTTGGAGATCAAGCTCCTCTACATCATCACCGTAAACTTCTTCAAGGGTTTCAATTGCCTCCTTATCATCCGTTAGATCTTCCCATTTGGAAATGGGAATCAATAAGAGGGCCCTACGGAACTCATTGTATCTTGCAACTTTCCTCTCTCTGTCCCTGTAAACTGCATCATCAATCATATGGATCAGCTTCATGTAATAATACATCATAATAATGAGATTCGCTTGGACTTACTCTCAAGAGCAGGTAGGTCCACGTGATCAGGTCGATCTCTACCGTCTGTATCTTGTGCAGTAATATCTCTGAGCCACACTGGATAGTTCCACAGCTCAAGGGCCCCACAAGCTTGATGGCCCATTGAAACCATTTGCTTTGTAAATCCAATCTCTGATAAGGCTTGTTCTCCTTTATGACCAATCATATTGACCATATTGACCCTGTAGTTTTTCATCGGTTAATTAACCCCATTCTTGANACAGCTCAAGGGCCCCACAAGCTTGATGGCCCATTGAAACCATTTGCTTTGTAAATCCAATCTCTGATAAGGCTTGTTCTCCTTTATGACCAATCATATTGACCATATTGACCCTGTAGTTTTTCAATTATTAATTAACCCCATTCTTGAAAAAAAAAAATCTTTATTTTTAATTTTTGGATAAAATAATTCTTTGTTCTTTATCTTAAAAAAAATTAGTTTTATTTTTAATGGAACCTATTAATTTAATCGTTCACAGTAATTCATTGCAAAAAATTTGATAAGATTTTTTATCAACAGAATGCTAGGAATCCTAAATGACATTCCAAATCAGTAGGGATCATTGGGTGCTTTTAAAAATTGAAGAAACCCACTAATCTAATGCTCCATGTTAATTTGGGATCCATAGTATTTCTCATAAATTAATGTCATATATATGAAACAAAAATGTACTTTTCAATCAACNCAGTAATTCATTGCAAAAAATTTGATAAGATTTTTTATCAACAGAATGCTAGGAATTTTAAATGACATTCCAAATCAGTAGGGATCATTAGATCAGTGGGTGCTTTTAAAAATTGAAGAAACCCGCTAATCTAATCTAATGCTCCCCTGTTCATTCGGGATCTAATATGGGATCCATAGTATTTCCCATAAATTAATGTCATATATATGAAACAAAAATGTACTTTTCAATCAACGGTGGGGATTTGTTGGATCCTGGTGCTCCATTGACATCTCTAAGGAGAAGGTGATCAGGTAAGAGCGAGTGCATCCTATAGACGCTGACAAATTCCTCAGTCAATGAATACGGCACACCATGATTCTCAGGCTTATTTAAACCCACAAGACCTCCCAGGGATGCTCCTCCAATGTGGCCAAATGTATCTTTGAACTTCTTCCCCAGCAATCCATACCTAGTACATTCATTAACCCAAACAAACATCACTGTTTACTTTTGAAAAGTCCCATCAGAAACAATTACAAAGTGATTGTAATTAAATTCAAAGGAAGGAGTAAAGTGGGTTGGGTCGAATAGCTAAGCAGCCATCCTTTCTTAGAGAAGACTTAAAATCGAGTTTCACTCGCGATTTTATGTTCCCTATTGCTTACCAATTGGCCCTCATTCCTGCGAGCAATGTATCGGTTTTGAGAAGCTCAACGGTCCAATCGATGGTATGGATCTTTGCAATGACAGCAGAAGTTACTAGCCTTGCATGCCGGTACAAATCTTCATCATTTAACTCTGGGTATTCCTTCTAAAATATCACAACAAAAAAGCAGAGATTCACATTTACAATTAATTTAATAAAGAAAAACAAAAAANTTAACTCTGGGTATTCCTTCTAAAATATCACAACAAAAAAGCAGAGATTCACATTAACAATTATAATTTAATAAAGAAAAACAAAAAAAAAAATTAAAAATTGCTTCATAAAAACAAAATTTCATATGCCGTTACTCTTACTCCTCACAACTTATAATATTGATTATTGATTATTACTTGAGAAGAATGTTTTCTAAGCATGTGCGATCATAATAGTGCACATTTTTTAAATAGATAGATAATGTGGTATGTTTAATAAAATTTATTATTTGTAATATTTAAATTGAAGAATATTTTATGTGATACCCCAAATGAAAAATTACACAAAAAAATTATAATAATCAAGAAATTTAGGTATGTGACCGTATCAAAATCGAATCAGATTAAAATTAATCTAAATATTTGATGGTTTTAGATATTATATTGCTTCATATATACACATGCCTATACACGGACGGGCGAGCGGGCGGGCGGCCACCGGTATGAAAATAATCAAATCATATCTCAATCGAATCAATCATTAATATATTTAAATTTAAAGGCGCAAAACATAATACATTCGGGGTCAAAGTAATGACAGAGAAAATATTAATTTTTGTCCCTTTCGGAATCGGATCACAATTTGAAAGATTAACAGCCGAAAATGAAGGTGAAGGCATTCAGTTCCTCGTGGTTGATTACCTTTAAGGCATCGCAAACAGCATTATGCTCGTGGACGAAGAGGGCCTGTAAGGTAGAAAGGCCAGCCCAATTCTACCTTACATAATAAATAAAAATTATGTCGGCTTGGGAGAGGTGAGTGATACTATACAAGGGCAGAGCCACATTAGGACTAGGGGGTGCACTTATCTCCTTAATTTTGGATTTTTTTTTTTTTTTATGTTCTATGTTTTTTACTATAAATGCATCGCGGGCATTGCACGAAAAAGTTTTTTGTTAAAATATTTAATAAAATACATAAAAATTTAATTATACAGATAAATTAGATATTATCTTATGTTTATTTTATTAATTTAAATTTTTTGTATTGTGGGTGAAGAGAAAAAGATATTGTATCAATGAAGTTGTCAATGTGCATTAATATTTGGGTTTTGGAAAAAAAAGAATAATGTTTTTATCTAAAATTTTTTCAAAAATAGAGAGATTTATGATATGTTAGATTATAGTTTGTTATTTAAGTATAGAGGGATATAAGGGTAATTAATATATTTAAATACAAAACGATATGTTAACTTTTATAGTTTTTTATAATGGCAAAATAATAAATAAAAATTTTTTCATATTAAAATATTTTTATTTATAATTTTGTTCATTTTATTACATTTACTCCCTCTAATTTTTTTAAAAATTGTATATTTAATCTTATTTTTTATTCAGATTTAGATTAGGCTACATGAAAATTAGTTTGATTGTTTCATATCTTAATTATTCTTAAATTTTAATATATTCCTTCGTGTTTGAACTTAAATTTTTTTTTGTATTTGTTGGTGAATTTTTTCTAGTTACATTTTACCTTCTTTTAACAAATTCTTGACTCCTCTTGGTACGAGAGGGATAATGGGTGAATTTCTTACCACCAAGGCGTTCGAGTGTTCAAGAAACCACTCTTGATCTCATAAAAGCAGGTAGGAACCTCCTTTGTCTTGTAAAACTTGAAGGACTTGAGGGGACACTCATTTGCAACTTCTCTTGGTGCAGTGAGCTCAATCTACAATAATGATATTGTCCAGAAGTACTGACATGATCAGTGAAATATATAAAAGAAAAATTAACTGAATTAAATTTAAAAGAAGAAGCACTCTGTATAGATATCCAGACCTGTTGGGTATCTTCTAAGTGGTCAATCCAATCATGTATCATGAACTGTATCCAAGCAGCTGCTATCATGTTGAATTGCTTTCCTGTGTCGATAAGATTTCTACGTGCCAGAAGCTTTGTGGCAACCACCATGGGATCTGGCCTCTTTAGCTGCGTATATATCGTCGAGTCAAGATTATTTACAAGATGAAAAGTAGATTATTCTGCAGCCCTAGTAATGGTCCCATCATGTGAGTCAGTCAAGTTCTTTATCTATATTTATATATATAGAGAGTTAAACCTATGCATTAGTATAACTAACCCTTTTTGAAATTTTGTACTACCTTTCTGAGTACTGATGTGAGAATTCTTAAATCACTTTTAGCCTCTTCTCAGAACATATATTGGGGTGGTGGATATTCATTCAGTGCCCTTTTCATGTTCGTTCATAATCAAAACATATTAATCAATGCAGTTATATTATTCCTACAAACAAAAAACTTCAAAAAGGGCAAAGAATTTAGGAACTTTATCTGTTTATCATATCTTCTATTGTACCTTGTAAAGTGAACACTAATTTTCTTCTGATTTGCAGCTTTTTCACCTAGAATACTATTTTTTTTTTTTGGCTCAGGGTGTCGTGTCGGAGTCAATTTACACACTTTGATTAATCCTCTCCTCGATCCAATCAAAGATAGGCTATCTTAAGGAGTTATCAAAATTCGAAATCAGAACTTCCGAATTTTCAACTCGCCTATTTGACTATTTAAACTACTTGTTAGAGTATGTGTGGCTCATATTTTGCTATGTGCATAACGGCAAGAAGGCAGATGCCGGATTTATATATAGGGGACGCTGATAAGTTGGGGGTGCGGGGGCAACGCCCCCGCGGTACGGTACAGGGTTATTTTTGTAAATACGTCCATATTAGGGTTATATAAATACTTAAGATGTAACCCTACTTCAATAAGGAAAAGAACAGCCGCTCGCTCTCGTGGATGTAGGCACATTGCCGAACCACGTAAATCTCTGTGTGTTATTTTCTCCTGCTTTCTTAATTGTTTGATTCCTTACTATTCACCATAATTGCTGCACGATCACAACANTAAGTATATCTGTATGTGCTTATCAATTTAACCATCCATAATTATCTACCTACCAACTCTTGATAAGAAGATAATTTTTCCTTTCATCTCTTCCCAGTCACACACGTGGGTGGTCATGTGCATAAAGCACAAATAACTATCACGAGGGGGAGAGGGAAGGATTTGATGTCTGTATGAAAACATTTATGGTACTCTTATTTTCTTTTGGTAATGGAAGAACTTGCATTTAGTGTGGAGAAAAATGAAGGGATGAGTCATTTTTATGATCATTGATCCTAAAGAAATACATATTATTTATTCATGTGCGTGTGTATATATATCTGTGTGTGTGTGTGTGTGTCATAAAGGAAGGAGGGGTATGGTGTCCATAAGTATATCTGTATGTGCTTATCAATTTAACCATCCATAATTATCTACCTACCAACTCTTGATAAGAAGATAATTTTTCCTTTCATCTCTTCCCAGTCACACACGTGGGTGGTCATGTGCATAAAGCACAAATAACTATCACGAGGGGGAGAGGGAAGGATTTGATGTCTGTATGAAAACATTTATGGTACTCTTATTTTCTTTTGGTAATGGAAGAACTTGCATTTAGTGTGGAGAAAAATGAAGGGATGAGTCATTTTTATGATCATTGATCCTAAAGAAATACATATTATTTATTCATGTGCGTGTGTATATATATCTGTGTGTGTGTGTGTGTGTCATAAAGGAAGGAGGGGTATGGTGTCCATAAGTATATCTGTATGTGCTTATCAATTTAACCATCCATAATTATCTACCTACCAACTCTTGATAAGAAGATAATTTTTCCTTTCATCTCTTCCCAGTCACACACGTGGGTGGTCATGTGCATAAAGCACAAATAACTATCACGAGGGGGAGAGGGAAGGATTTGATGTCTGTATGAAAACATTTATGGTACTCTTATTTTCTTTTGGTAATGGAAGAACTTGCATTTAGTGTGGAGAAAAATGAAGGGATGAGTCATTTTTATGATCATTGATCCTAAAGAAATACATATTATTTATTCATGTGCGTGTGTATATATATCTGTGTGTGTGTGTGTGTGTCATAAAGGAAGGAGGGGTATGGTGTCCATAAGTATATCTGTATGTGCTTATCAATTTAACCATCCATAATTATCTACCTACCAACTCTTGATAAGAAGATAATTTTTCCTTTCATCTCTTCCCAGTCACACACGTGGGTGGTCATGTGCATAAAGCACAAATAACTATCACGAGGGGGAGAGGGAAGGATTTGATGTCTGTATGAAAACATTTATGGTACTCTTATTTTCTTTTGGTAATGGAAGAACTTGCATTTAGTGTGGAGAAAAATGAAGGGATGAGTCATTTTTATGATCATTGATCCTAAAGAAATACATATTATTTATTCATGTGCGTGTGTATATATATCTGTGTGTGTGTGTGTGTGTCATAAAGGAAGGAGGGGTATGGTGTCCATAAGTATATCTGTATGTGCTTATCAATTTAACCATCCATAATTATCTACCTACCAACTCTTGATAAGAAGATAATTTTTCCTTTCATCTCTTCCCAGTCACACACGTGGGTGGTCATGTGCATAAAGCACAAATAACTATCACGAGGGGGAGAGGGAAGGATTTGATGTCTGTATGAAAACATTTATGGTACTCTTATTTTCTTTTGGTAATGGAAGAACTTGCATTTAGTGTGGAGAAAAATGAAGGGATGAGTCATTTTTATGATCATTGATCCTAAAGAAATACATATTATTTATTCATGTGCGTGTGTATATATATCTGTGTGTGTGTGTGTGTGTCATAAAGGAAGGAGGGGTATGGTGTCCATAAGTATATCTGTATGTGCTTATCAATTTAACCATCCATAATTATCTACCTACCAACTCTTGATAAGAAGATAATTTTTCCTTTCATCTCTTCCCAGTCACACACGTGGGTGGTCATGTGCATAAAGCACAAATAACTATCACGAGGGGGAGAGGGAAGGATTTGATGTCTGTATGAAAACATTTATGGTACTCTTATTTTCTTTTGGTAATGGAAGAACTTGCATTTAGTGTGGAGAAAAATGAAGGGATGAGTCATTTTTATGATCATTGATCCTAAAGAAATACATATTATTTATTCATGTGCGTGTGTATATATATCTGTGTGTGTGTGTGTGTGTCATAAAGGAAGGAGGGGTATGGTGTCCATAAGTATATCTGTATGTGCTTATCAATTTAACCATCCATAATTATCTACCTACCAACTCTTGATAAGAAGATAATTTTTCCTTTCATCTCTTCCCAGTCACACACGTGGGTGGTCATGTGCATAAAGCACAAATAACTATCACGAGGGGGAGAGGGAAGGATTTGATGTCTGTATGAAAACATTTATGGTACTCTTATTTTCTTTTGGTAATGGAAGAACTTGCATTTAGTGTGGAGAAAAATGAAGGGATGAGTCATTTTTATGATCATTGATCCTAAAGAAATACATATTATTTATTCATGTGCGTGTGTATATATATCTGTGTGTGTGTGTGTGTGTCATAAAGGAAGGAGGGGTATGGTGTCCATAAGTATATCTGTATGTGCTTATCAATTTAACCATCCATAATTATCTACCTACCAACTCTTGATAAGAAGATAATTTTTCCTTTCATCTCTTCCCAGTCACACACGTGGGTGGTCATGTGCATAAAGCACAAATAACTATCACGAGGGGGAGAGGGAAGGATTTGATGTCTGTATGAAAACATTTATGGTACTCTTATTTTCTTTTGGTAATGGAAGAACTTGCATTTAGTGTGGAGAAAAATGAAGGGATGAGTCATTTTTATGATCATTGATCCTAAAGAAATACATATTATTTATTCATGTGCGTGTGTATATATATCTGTGTGTGTGTGTGTGTGTCATAAAGGAAGGAGGGGTATGGTGTCCATAAGTATATCTGTATGTGCTTATCAATTTAACCATCCATAATTATCTACCTACCAACTCTTGATAAGAAGATAATTTTTCCTTTCATCTCTTCCCAGTCACACACGTGGGTGGTCATGTGCATAAAGCACAAATAACTATCACGAGGGGGAGAGGGAAGGATTTGATGTCTGTATGAAAACATTTATGGTACTCTTATTTTCTTTTGGTAATGGAAGAACTTGCATTTAGTGTGGAGAAAAATGAAGGGATGAGTCATTTTTATGATCATTGATCCTAAAGAAATACATATTATTTATTCATGTGCGTGTGTATATATATCTGTGTGTGTGTGTGTGTGTCATAAAGGAAGGAGGGGTATGGTGTCCATAAGTATATCTGTATGTGCTTATCAATTTAACCATCCATAATTATCTACCTACCAACTCTTGATAAGAAGATAATTTTTCCTTTCATCTCTTCCCAGTCACACACGTGGGTGGTCATGTGCATAAAGCACAAATAACTATCACGAGGGGGAGAGGGAAGGATTTGATGTCTGTATGAAAACATTTATGGTACTCTTATTTTCTTTTGGTAATGGAAGAACTTGCATTTAGTGTGGAGAAAAATGAAGGGATGAGTCATTTTTATGATCATTGATCCTAAAGAAATACATATTATTTATTCATGTGCGTGTGTATATATATCTGTGTGTGTGTGTGTGTGTCATAAAGGAAGGAGGGGTATGGTGTCCATAAGTATATCTGTATGTGCTTATCAATTTAACCATCCATAATTATCTACCTACCAACTCTTGATAAGAAGATAATTTTTCCTTTCATCTCTTCCCAGTCACACACGTGGGTGGTCATGTGCATAAAGCACAAATAACTATCACGAGGGGGAGAGGGAAGGATTTGATGTCTGTATGAAAACATTTATGGTACTCTTATTTTCTTTTGGTAATGGAAGAACTTGCATTTAGTGTGGAGAAAAATGAAGGGATGAGTCATTTTTATGATCATTGATCCTAAAGAAATACATATTATTTATTCATGTGCGTGTGTATATATATCTGTGTGTGTGTGTGTGTGTCATAAAGGAAGGAGGGGTATGGTGTCCATAAGTATATCTGTATGTGCTTATCAATTTAACCATCCATAATTATCTACCTACCAACTCTTGATAAGAAGATAATTTTTCCTTTCATCTCTTCCCAGTCACACACGTGGGTGGTCATGTGCATAAAGCACAAATAACTATCACGAGGGGGAGAGGGAAGGATTTGATGTCTGTATGAAAACATTTATGGTACTCTTATTTTCTTTTGGTAATGGAAGAACTTGCATTTAGTGTGGAGAAAAATGAAGGGATGAGTCATTTTTATGATCATTGATCCTAAAGAAATACATATTATTTATTCATGTGCGTGTGTATATATATCTGTGTGTGTGTGTGTGTGTCATAAAGGAAGGAGGGGTATGGTGTCCATAAGTATATCTGTATGTGCTTATCAATTTAACCATCCATAATTATCTACCTACCAACTCTTGATAAGAAGATAATTTTTCCTTTCATCTCTTCCCAGTCACACACGTGGGTGGTCATGTGCATAAAGCACAAATAACTATCACGAGGGGGAGAGGGAAGGATTTGATGTCTGTATGAAAACATTTATGGTACTCTTATTTTCTTTTGGTAATGGAAGAACTTGCATTTAGTGTGGAGAAAAATGAAGGGATGAGTCATTTTTATGATCATTGATCCTAAAGAAATACATATTATTTATTCATGTGCGTGTGTATATATATCTGTGTGTGTGTGTGTGTGTCATAAAGGAAGGAGGGGTATGGTGTCCATAAGTATATCTGTATGTGCTTATCAATTTAACCATCCATAATTATCTACCTACCAACTCTTGATAAGAAGATAATTTTTCCTTTCATCTCTTCCCAGTCACACACGTGGGTGGTCATGTGCATAAAGCACAAATAACTATCACGAGGGGGAGAGGGAAGGATTTGATGTCTGTATGAAAACATTTATGGTACTCTTATTTTCTTTTGGTAATGGAAGAACTTGCATTTAGTGTGGAGAAAAATGAAGGGATGAGTCATATATATGATCATTGATCCTAAAGAAATACATATTATTTATTCATGTGCGTGTGTGTGTGTGTGTATGTGTGTGTGTGTGCGCCTATATCTATGTCTATGTCATAAAGGAAGAAGGAGGGGAATGGTGTCCATAAGTATCTCCTTATTTTCTTATCAATTTAACCATCCATAATTATCTACCTACCAACTTGTGATAACATCCCTTCCCAGTCACACACGTGGGCGGTCGTGTGCATAAGGCACAAATAACTATCAGGAGGGGGGGGAGGGAAGGTTTTGATGTCTATATGAAAACATTTATAGTACTCTTATTTTCTTTTGATTTTAATTGCCCACAAATAACCCTTTAATCATATATAATTCTCTATTATCTACACTCTACTGTCTATATCATTGGAGTGTCAATTTTATCTATTAACACAACCTTAATTCGACATAAAACTCGAAAGTGATAAGTCGACACAACACGATTGACACCCCTACTATATAATATATATTTGTTGGTATAATGTCACTCTTAGATATTCTTGCTTCCCTCACCCTCCTCTCTATATCACTTCTTTCCAAAAATGCACACAAGCAGCCGATCCACTAGGATATATATATACTAGTAATTACCCATGTCTGAAGGCACGTTAACACAAGAAATCCTTTACAACTTAAAAAAAAGCCATCATTTTGAAATAGTTTTTAAGATTGAAATTAAGCTAGTCCCTAATATTTTTCAAAAATTCTGCAAAATTTCCTTTAAAAATAGGATTCCAAAAAAATTTAAACCTGTCTACAGAAATTACAATCATACATAACAATTATCATAATACACCATATCACCACGATTCAATTCTATTTCTCCCAAAATCTTCAATACATACCCAACCACCAAAACAACTAACTTTCCATACCCAAAACCATCAATACATACCCAACCAACAAAACAACCAACATTCCATACCCAAAACCATCAATACATACCCAATCACCAAAACCATCAATACATATCCAACCACCAAAATAACCATCATTACATATCCAAAATCATCATAAGCATGTGTAATTAGTTGATTGTACAAAAAATGGAACAAACANATATTATATTGCTTCATATATACACATGCCTATACACGGACGGGCGAGCGGGCGGGCGGCCACCGGTATGAATATAATTAAATCATATCTCAATCGAATCAATCATTAATATATTTAAATTTAAAGGCGCAAAACATTAACAGAGAAAATATTAATTTTTGTCCCTTTCGGAATCGGATCACAATTTGAAAGATTAACAGCCGAAAATGAAGGTAAAGGCATTCAGTTCCTCGTGGTTGATTACCTTTAAGGCATCGCAAACAGCATTATGCTCGTGGACGAAGAGGGCCTGTAAGGTAGAAAGGCCAGCCCAACTGTTGCGAATGTCGCCGGAGATGACATAGCCGTCATGGTCACGAAGAAGAAGGCCATCTATTCCGATCTTGAGCTTCCCATCTCTGAAAGTCCTCACTTTCTGCAACCTTTCAGCGTTGCTCCCGTATATGGCACTTCCATCCCTTTACGTCGACAATAAATCATAGACGTGTAAGTGAACCAGAAAAAGAATAAGAAAACACAGACTACCTATCAATCAATGACTCGTGCAATATGACGTTTCATTTGACTCACTCTCTCTCTCTCTAATTTAACTCATCTCAACTCAAATACACAATTCAATAAATTATTTAAACTCGCCTAGAGAAATCATCCTCATGAAAGCAAATTATGTCGGCTTGGGAGAGGTGAGTGGTACTATACAAGGGCAGAGCCACATTAGGACTAGGGGGTGCACTTATCTCCTTAATTTTGGATTTTTTTTTTTTTTTTGTTCTATGTTTTTTTACTATAAATGCATCGTGGGCATTGCACGAAAAAGTTTTTTGTTAAAATATTTAATAAAATACATAAAAATTTAATTATATAGATAAATTAGATATTATCTTATGTTTATTTTATTAATTTAAATTTTTTGTATCGTGGCTGAAGAGAAAATGATATTGTATCAATGAAGTTGTCAATGTGCATTAATATTTGGGTTTTGGAAAAAAAAGAATAATGTTTTTATCTAAAATTTTTTCAAAAATAGAGAGATTTATGATATGTTAGATTATAGTTTGTTATTTAAGTATAGAGGGATATAAGGGTAATTAATATATTTAAATACAAAACTATATGTTAACTTTTATAGTTTTTTATAAGGGCAAAATAATAAATAAAATTTTTTTCATATTAAAATATTTTTATTTATAATTTTGTTCATTTTATTACATTTACTCCCTCTAATTTTTTTAAAAATTGTATATTTAATCTTATTTTTTATTCAGATTTAGATTAGGCTACATGAAAATTAGTTTGATTGTTTCATATCTTAATTATTCTTAAATTTTAATATATTCCTTCGTGTTTGAACTTAAATTTTTTTTTGTATTTGTTGGTGAATTTTTTCTAGTTACATTTTACCTTCTTTTAACAAATTCTTGACTCCTCTTGGTACGAGAGGGATAATGGGTGAATTTCTTACCACCAAGGCGTTCGAGTGTTCAAGAAACCACTCTTGATCTCATAAAAGCAGGTAGGAACCTCCTTTGTCTTGTAAAACTTGAAGGACTTGAGGGGACACTCATTTGCAACTTCTCTTGGTGCAGTGAGCTCAATCTACAATAATGATATTGTCCAGAAGTACTGACATGATCAGTGAAATATATAAAAGAAAAATTAACTGAATTAAATTTAAAAGAAGAAGCACTCTGTATAGATATCCAGACCTGTTGGGTATCTTCTAAGTGGTCAATCCAATCATGTATCATGAACTGTATCCAAGCAGCTGCTATCATGTTGAATTGCTTTCCTGTGTCGATAAGATTTCTACGTGCCAGAAGCTTTGTGGCAACCACCATGGGATCTGGCCTCTTTAGCTGCGTATATATCGTCGAGTCAAGATTATTTACAAGATGAAAAGTAGATTATTCTGCAGCCCTAGTAATGGTCCCATCATGTGAGTCAGTCAAGTTCTTTATCTATATTTATATATATAGAGAGTTAAACCTATGCATTAGTATAACTAACCCTTTTTGAAATTTTGTACTACCTTTCTGAGTACTGATGTGAGAATTCTTAAATCACTTTTAGCCTCTTCTCAGAACATATATTGGGGTGGTGGATATTCATTCAGTGCCCTTTTCATGTTCGTTCATAATCAAAACATATTAATCAATGCAGTTATATTATTCCTACAAACAAAAAACTTCAAAAAGGGCAAAGAATTTAGGAACTTTATCTGTTTATCATATCTTCTATTGTACCTTGTAAAGTGAACACTAATTTTCTTCTGATTTGCAGCTTTTTCACCTAGAATACTATTTTTTTTTTTTGGCTCAGGGTGTCGTGTCGGAGTCAATTTACACACTTTGATTAATCCTCTCCTCGATCCAATCAAAGATAGGCTATCTTAAGGAGTTATCAAAATTCGAAATCAGAACTTCCGAATTTTCAACTCGCCTATTTGACTATTTAAACTACTTGTTAGAGTATGTGTGGCTCATATTTTGCTATGTGCATAACGGCAAGAAGGCAGATGCCGGATTTATATATAGGGGACGCTGATAAGTTGGGGGTGCGGGGGCAACGCCCCCGCGGTACGGTACAGGGTTATTTTTGTAAATACGTCCATATTAGGGTTATATAAATACTTAAGATGTAACCCTACTTCAATAAGGAAAAGAACAGCCGCTCGCTCTCGTGGATGTAGGCACATTGCCGAACCACGTAAATCTCTGTGTGTTATTTTCTCCTGCTTTCTTAATTGTTTGATTCCTTACTATTCACCATAATTGCTGCACGATCACAACANTTCATTCAGTGCCCTTTTCATGTTCGTTCATAATCAAAACATATTAATCAATGCAGTTATATTATTCCTACAAACAAAAAACTTCAAAAAGGGCAAAGAATTTAGGAACTTTATCTGTTTATCATATCTTCTATTGTACCTTGTAAAGTGAACACTAATTTTCTTCTGATTTGCAGCTTTTTCACCTAGAATACTATTTTTTTTTTTTGGCTCAGGGTGTCGTGTCGGAGTCAATTTACACACTTTGATTAATCCTCTCCTCGATCCAATCAAAGATAGGCTATCTTAAGGAGTTATCAAAATTCGAAATCAGAACTTCCGAATTTTCAACTCGCCTATTTGACTATTTAAACTACTTGTTAGAGTATGTGTGGCTCATATTTTGCTATGTGCATAACGGCAAGAAGGCAGATGCCGGATTTATATATAGGGGACGCTGATAAGTTGGGGGTGCGGGGGCAACGCCCCCGCGNTTTTTTCATATTAAAATATTTTTATTTATAATTTTGTTCATTTTATTACATTTACTCCCTCTAATTTTTTTAAAAATTGTATATTTAATCTTATTTTTTATTCAGATTTAGATTAGGCTACATGAAAATTAGTTTGATTGTTTCATATCTTAATTATTCTTAAATTTTAATATATTCCTTCGTGTTTGAACTTAAATTTTTTTTTGTATTTGTTGGTGAATTTTTTCTAGTTACATTTTACCTTCTTTTAACAAATTCTTGACTCCTCTTGGTACGAGAGGGATAATGGGTGAATTTCTTACCACCAAGGCGTTCGAGTGTTCAAGAAACCACTCTTGATCTCATAAAAGCAGGTAGGAACCTCCTTTGTCTTGTAAAACTTGAAGGACTTGAGGGGACACTCATTTGCAACTTCTCTTGGTGCAGTGAGCTCAATCTACAATAATGATATTGTCCAGAAGTACTGACATGATCATTGAAATATATAAAAGAAAAATTAACTGAATTAAATTTAAAAGAAGAAGCACTCTGTATAGATATCCAGACCTGTTGGGTATCTTCTAAGTGGTCAATCCAATCATGTATCATGAACTGTATCCAAGCAGCTGCTATCATGTTGAATTGCTTTCCTGTGTCGATAAGATTTCTACGTGCCAGAAGCTTTGTGGCAACCACCATGGGATCTGGCCTCTTTAGCTGCGTATATATCGTCGAGTCAAGATTATTTACAAGATGAAAAGTAGATTATTCTGCAGCCCTAGTAATGGTCCCATCATGTGAGTCAGTCAAGTTCTTTATCTATATTTATATATATAGAGAGTTAAACCTATGCATTAGTATAACTAACCCTTTTTGAAATTTTGTACTACCTTTCTGAGTACTGATGTGAGAATTCTTAAATCACTTTTAGCCTCTTCTCAGAACATATATTGGGGTGGTGGATATTCATTCAGTGCCCTTTTCATGTTCGTTCATAATCAAAACATATTAATCAATGCAGTTATATTATTCCTACAAACAAAAAACTTCAAANGTGGTGGATATTCATTCAGTGCCCTTTTCATGTTCGTTCATAATCAAAACATATTGATCAATGCAGTTATATTATTCCTACAAACAAAAAACTTCAAAAAGGGCAAAGAATTTAGGAACTATATCTGTTTATCATATCTTCTATTGTACCTTGTGAAGTGAACACTATTTTTCTTCTGATTTGCAGCTTTTTCACCTAGAATACTTTTTTTTTTTTTTGGCTCAGGGTGTCGTGTCGGAGTCAGTTTACACACACTTTGATTAATCCTTTCCTCGATCCAATCAAAGATAGGCTATCTTAAAGAGTTATCAAAATTCGAAATCAGAACGTCCGAATTTTCAACTCGCCTATATGACTATTTAAACTACCCCTTGGGATTCACTTAGAATATTATCAAAGCTGATTGGATTGCACCAAAGAACTTTGTCCAATGGTAGAAACAAGGAGTTGGTGATGGTTTTGTTATTCTATGATTTATTCTAAAAGTTGAAGTTGTTGCATAATAACCTAATAGGTTGTATAACAAGTATTTGTCTAGCTAGTTGGTTGCATGCCACTGTGTTTTACCTTATTTTTCTGATCAACAGGAAGAATGTTCCTGCCAAAGAAAGTTCCCTGNTAGGAAGAATGTTCCTGCCAATGAAAGTTCCCTGGCTTCCGGCACCTTCATTGAAGGGATCATTAAATTTCCCATCTGCTGTTCTGAAGGGATGATCGGCGGGATTGGACCGAACGCCGACGGGAGGTGTGCCAACGCTAAATAAGTTGTATTTCTGGTGAAGGTGCCGACGAAAAGCCAGATAAACCAGACCCAAGAAGACTGGTAAGCGGTGCCATATTCCCAACTTATCAATGGAGTGAACAGCCTGCATTTAGAAAATAACGTGATGAGTTATATGATCATTGATCTCACAAGTTAAATGAAAAAAGTATTACTAGAGATGGGTTTAATATTTACTAGAAAGAGAAGCCTATCGATGAGAGGCATTCTTGCTACAACTTCATGGAAGTCTCTGTGGATCAAACATTGAAGTGGTGCCATCAAAATGGAGTTAATGGAGGACATAACTATAGACATTGTGCTTCTTTTTCTTTCTCAGAAACTGGGTCGTTGATGAAGATGAACACATGACCCAAAGACGCTTATATAGATGGGGGGTACGTATACGCAGTCACAAAGGAGAGGAAGACGAAACGATCCAAATTTGCCCTTGAATGTATTCTAATTCTAATATATATACTGCACCAACACACAATTCACTATTTTAAGGTACAATTGTAAATTGGTAATACATTTTTTTCCTTTTTTTTTTTTCATTTTTCATCCAAAACCAAATAATGAAAAATATATCACTGATACTTTTTATCTCTCTTAAAAAAAAATAGTGAATTATGAACGCGAGGAATGTGAGGGAAGTCTATCCCATGAATGACAAGGCGATATGAAACTTTTTTTTGGGGAGGGGGAGTAGGCCAAATATGGAAGGTAAATGAGGACTAGATCTTTGTGATGTGTGAGCATCTTCGACCATAATTTAAATTTTTTATTTAAGTAAAAAGCTTGATTTTATACAAATGAATCCAATAAATAAACTAAAATTTAAATAAGAAGAAACTCAAATTTAAATAAGAAGAAATTCATAATTAAATGAGAGTAAAAATGACCATTGGATCTTTAAAAAAAAAAGTAAAATCTCAGCATTAAAAATTTGAGTATAAAAAAAAATATCCCTTAGTTTGATATAAATTTGAGTAAGAGTCGGAATAAATTTTTTTACTTAAATTTAAATTTGNAAGAAATTCATAATTAAATGAGAGTAAAAATGACCATTGGATCTTTAAAAAAAAAAGTAAAATCTCACTATTAAAAATTTGAGTATAAAAAAAAAATATCTCTTAATTTGATATAAATTTGAGTAAGAGTCGGAATAAATTTTTTTACTTAAATTTAAATTTGAGTTTAAATTTAAATTATGATTGAAAATGCTATGTACGATTTGTATACTTTTAAATGTGTCAAGTACTATTCCATTCAAACTTAATTTGGGAAAAATCTAGGATACCCAAAAAGAAAAATTGATATCATAAGCAGAAAGGAGAGGAAGACGAAATGATCCAAGTTTGAAAGGTTGTCTTTTCAACTGGGTTTGGGTCCAGCCACATGGGCTGACTCATGACCCGTTCATTGGGTGCAGCTCTGGACGAGTTGTATACTTTTAAATTTGTGTCAAGTACTATTCCATTCAAACTTAATTTAGGGAAAATCTATGTTACAAAAAAAAAAAAAAAACATTGATATCATACGCAGAAAAGAGAGGAAGACGANTGAGAGGAAGACGAAATGATCCAAGTTTGACAGGTTGTCTTTTCAACTGGGTTTGGGTCCAGCCACATGGGCTGACTTATACTTTTAAATTTGTGTCAAGTACTATTCCATTCAAACTTAATTTAGGGAAAATCTTTGTTACAAAAAAAAAAAAAAAACATTGATATCATACGCAGAAAAGAGAGGAAGACGAAATGGTCCAAGTTTGAAAGGTTTACAACTTTGTCTTTTCAACTGGGTTTGGGTCCAGCCACGTGGGCTAACTGATGACCCGTTCATGGGGTAAGTGATAAACCCACAAAAATAAGTTAAAATAAACTTAGAACCTTCCTTAATCCACACCAAAGTGGACGACATTGTACTTACAAATTTGATCTAATAATATATTAAGTGGTAAGTTCTTTATAAAAATGTTCAATAATTATCGTCACATTAATTTTATCATTGTCACATTATTAAATTAATAAATTATATTAATTTTTTAAGTTTCAATAATATTAATCTTTCTAAAATAGATTCCAATCAAAACTTTATTTAAGGAAAAATCATATTCATTACATTCATATTCATATTCAACAAAACGTACGCTAAAAGATGCATGTATTGAGAATATTCNTCACATTATTAAATTAATAAATTATATTAAATCAAAACTTTATTTAAGGAAAAATCATATTCATTACATTCATATTCATATTCATATTCAACAAAACGTACGCTAAAAGATGCATGTATTGAGAATATTCAATGTACATATTTAAGATATGAACTTTTTAAGATTGAGTATTTTATTTTTACCAAGATTAAGTTCATGTAGTTGACTCAGGTGGTGATTCTCAACTGATGAATATAAATAAGTTGTAAATTTAGTTTTTAATTCCAATAAACATAAATAAGATTCTATCCTATTACGTAAATTTTAGTATTCATTATTTTTTCTTTATTTTCTTTCTTTTTTTAATAATTCACCACTATTGCGCTTTTATAAACCATTAGTGTCGAAAAATGGGNGATGAATATAAATAAGTTGTAAATTTAGTTTTTAATTCCAATGAACATAAATAAGATTCTATCCTATTACGGAAATTTTAGTATTCATTATTTTTTCTTTATTTTCTTTCTTTTTTAATAATTCACCACTATTGCGCTTTTATAAACCATTAGTGTCGAAAAATGGGCCTATTTTGACCTAGCTTAAATAAATATTTTTTAAAGCTTTTGAAGTAAAATAAATCTAGTATTTTTGGACCTTAACTTTTTTACTAGCTTATGGAGTAGCTTTTTTGACCCAAAAATGATTATTTAGTTTAATTCAATAAGTTGATTTTATGAGTTTTTCTTCCGTCTTTTTTGAATTTTGTCGCGGGTTNTTCTAGTATTTTTGGACCTTAACTTTTTTACTAGCTTATGGAGTAGCTTTTTTGACCCAAAAATGATTATTTAGTTTAAATCAATAAGTTGATTTTATGAGTTTTTCTTCCGTCTTTTTTGAATTTTGTCGCGGGTTCTATATAACTTTCTAGTTATTATATTCATAAAATATTATTAGTGATGTAAAAAAATTTAAAATTCATATTTTAGGAACTAGTATGAATAATCTATACATACATATAATTATTTTTTATTTTGACACAAAAAAGTTAGTAAAGTCGCTCCAAACAAACTTATTAAACTTTTTCAAGAAAACACTTCAAATAGTTTTAAAGGGTTTTTTTATCTCTTAACTTTTTTATAAAATTTTTCAAACCACAATTTTTTATCTAAAAAAACTTGATCCAAGCATGCCCAATGACTAATTCTTGAGTATAGAGCTTATCCATGGAGCGAAGGAACTTGCNGCTCCAAACAAACTTATTAAACTTTTTCAAGAACACTTCAAATAGTTTTAAAGGGTTTTTTTATCTCTTAACTTTTTTATAAAATTTTTCAAACCACAATTTTTTATCTAAAAAAATTTGATCCAAACATGCCCAATGACTAATTCTTGAGTATAGAGCTTATCCATGGAGCGAAGGAACTTGCACTTAGTGTGGAGGAAAATGAAAGGACGAGTCATATATATGATCATTGATCCTAAAGAAATACATATTATTTATTCATGTGCATGTGTGTGTGTGTGTGTGTGTCATAAAGGAAGAAGGAAGAGTATGGTGTCCATAAGTATATCCTTATTTTCTTGTCAATTTAACCATCCATAATTATCTACCTACCAAATAGTGATAAGAAAATAACTTTTCCTTTCATCCCTTCCCAGTCACACACTTGGGTGATCGTGTGCATAAAGCACAAATAACTANGTGTCATAAAGGAAGAAGGAGGAGTATGGTGTCCATAAGTATAACCTTATTTTCTTGTCAATTTAACCATCCATAATTATCTACCTACCAACTCGTGATAAGAAGATAACTTTTCCCTTCATCCCTTCTCAATCACACACTTGGGTGGTCGCGTGCATAAAGCACAAATAACTATCGGGGGGGGGGGGTAGAGAAGGACTTGATGTCTATATGAAAACATTTATAATACTCTTATTTTCTTTTGGTAGCGAAGGAACTTGCATTTAGTGTGGAGAAAAATGAAGAGATGAGTCATATATATGATCATTGATCCTAAAAAAATACATATTATTTATTCATGTGTGTGTGTGTCATAAAGGAAGAAGGAGGAATATGGTGTCCATAAGTATATCCTTATTTTCTTGCCAATTTAACCATCCATGATTATCTACCTACCAACTCGTGATAAGAAGATAACTTTTCCTTTCATCCCTTCCCAATCACACACTTGGGTGGTCGTGTGCATAAAACACAAATAACTATCAGGAGGGGGGGGGGGGGGGGGGAGGGTTTNATGAAAATGATTTAAATATACAAATTATCGTTAATTGGAATCAATGTAATTATTGTCATCAACCAAGAGAAAGAACAACAAAACGGTCAAGTGGGAAAATAAAAAATACATACTATAATTTATATGTAATTGTGTTANATTAATTGGAATCAATATAATTATTGTCATCAACCAAGAGAAAGAACAACGAAACGGTCAAGTGGGAAAATAAAAAATACATACTATAATTTATATGTAATTGTGTTAATCGATTATCTGTCACTAAATTATTCAAAAACAGAGATGATCAGTTATATAATAGGGAGAATGTATTGAATTTAACTATTATCTATCGATCAATATATAATAAAAATATTTCATATCTGTTGTACTCAATTAAAAGAACATTTGTTTTACTGGATTAGTGGGCAATAGCCTAATTCTATGGGCTTGATTGTTCATTTGGATATAGGCTGCAATCGTACCCCTGACTTTGATCTTTCAATCACCTTTATATTCCACCATTCCAAATCTCGTCCCATAGATTGTAAAACAAGACTCAAATTTTAGGACTTCACTACAAAATTTACTATTTTAATGGATATTTTTATTATTTCTATGGGTCATTTTATAATAAAAAAGTTATAATTTTTAAGGGTGATATACCACTATTATATGTGTTTTTACTATTTTGTGGTACCTACGATCGGTCTTAACATTTTTAGGATCGATCGCAGTAGCACAAAAGTTGTAAAAATAATTTCTATAAAAGTGAAAAATAATGGTACGTTACTAAAAAAAAAACTCATTATATTTTAGTTTGAATCTAAATCGTATAAGTCTAATATTAATTGATACTTTTTTTCATATTATTCAAAGAATTACACTATGATACCGAATTTTACTTTTCAGAACAATACTAAAAAAATAAAAATAAAAAAACCCAAAAGGAGATAAATTTTAACACAAAATATAGTAAGTGAACGTAAAAAGTGAATGCACCCCAAAAATGAATAAATATTATCTAAAAAGTGATAAGTGGTACGATAAATATTACCTTATTCAAATGTTTGATTTGTATTTAAATTTTACCTTACGTGACGAATAACTGAACTAGAGTGCATAACAAATTATATAGTTATTTCATTAAATAATTATTTAATTTTAATTTATAACTCAAATTTGTATCTCAAATGTAAAAGATTATTGGATGAGTAGATCTCATCAATTTTTTTAAATAGGACCCACTAATCCAATGGTCCCCTTTCATTTGAGATACAAATTTAAGTTACAGATTTGAATTACATAACATTGCTCTTTTTTTAATGTGTAGGTTGAGTTATTGTAGTTGAAAAATTAAAATTTAAGTGAGTTATTATGATTAAAAGTTAAAATTTAAATGAGTTACTGTGGTTAAAAATTAAAATGTTAAAATTTAAATGAGTTATCGTGGTTAAAAGATATAAATAGTCAGATCAAAACGATCTGGATCGTTGTTATACTTTGTTAATTGAAGCGCTTAAACAATTCAAATAGGAGGTTATGTTTTATTAATAATAATTAATAAATTAAATGATTTTAGATGTAAAAATTTGACTTGATTTATTAACTTAATAATAAGATTTTATTATAACCATTAAATTAACACCAAATTCAAATATTTAATAAAACCTACAATAATTTTTTTGTGAATGATGACTATATCTTTGTACCGTATTGTATATGAGTTGTATAATTTTAAATTTGTGTCAAGTACTGTTTAGTTCAAACTTAATTTGGAGAAAGTTTATGGTATCAAATTTTTTTTTTTGTATTGTATCACCAGTTACAAATTTTTATAGTAAAATTACACATTTGAAATAAGAAATTAAGTTGCTCAAGAGAAGGTCATGATTGATCATTGACATTCATGATTGATCATGTTACTCTTCCTAGCTGTAACTTCTCACTCATGAGTTGTAAGTTGAACTTTAAAAATTGTTACTTCGGTTGGTATCAATTGCAATCTCTTGTAATCGATCATATTTTTTATAAATAATAACATACATCTCAAAATAAATTATAATTTAATCTTAAAAAATAATAATTTTTAGTGCCATACCGGCATAATCGAAAAAAGGAAGATGCCATTTTTTGTGCACGCTAACCAAATTTTTGGACCAATTCTCCCTTCTTCTTGTTTTTTTTGTTTTTGGAAAATATTGAATTCATATTCCAAAGAGTTCTTTGAAAGTCGATACACCTAATTAGACTTATTTGACAAAAAAATATATGGAACAAAATATTTTAAAAAAAAGTACACAATTGAGATAGAAAGACGTAAATACTCATTTTAGAGTCAGTTAATTTAAAATCTCTTATCTTTAATGCACCTTGATTAATGTGTATTTTGTTAATACATATCTATATAATAAAAGAGGACTGTGTTTGAATTTTATTCCAATCATATTTTTTTCCTCAAAACCATCACCAATTATTTACCTCGCTTATCATCCCTTTGTCAGACTCAAACGTCAAATCACATCACTCATTTCTATCACATATTTAATCATTAATATATTTCTTCCATAAAAATATTACACCACTCATTTCTATCATATATTTAATTAATTTGTAGTTAATATATTTAAAAAAATTTAATATAGTGGAATCGATTTTTTTGAATCTCGAATTTTATATTTTGTCGTGTCTTCAGACACATGTTATGGGAGAACTTTAATATTTCATTTTTGTATGTCCTCATTTGATTCATGCGAATTTTTTTTTGAAAAGTAATTTTGTTTTCAAATTATATTTTAAATGCACATTGATTCATGCATTTTTTTAAGTGGTTTTATTTTTAAATTAATTTAATATTCAAATAGTATAATAGTATAATAATAACATTGTAACAAGTTATATACACAAAATATTGTACTATTATATTTTGTTAAACATATATTTTCATATAATTTCATTCAAAACAGTCTATCTTCGTTTTGAATTTGTTACCACATTCACAAAACTATTGAACACTGTTTTTATCACACTCTTAAACAGTTATTGTCACACTATTTAGATATAAAATTAATTTAAAAATAAAATCACTTTAAAAAAAAAACACATGAATCAAGGTGCATTAAAAATAATTTGAAAATAAAATCACTTTAAAAAAAAACGCATAAATTAAGATGCATGAAATATAATTCAAATTTAGATAAGAGATTTAACAACAAGTATATATATATATTTCAAATAATGTACCACTTTTCATAGAAGATATTTAATGCACTACTATCCAAAGATAATACACATGGATCAATGAAGGAGAAAAAATGTCACAAAAAAATTAGTAAAATTCAAATAATGTACTTAGATTCAAATAAGTATTAAAATTAAGGATTTAATTACTCAATATTTTTTTTTGTGTATTTTTTTACGATTAAGTCTAATTTGATATACCCCTTCCAATTTTTCCTATTCCAAAGTCGGATAAATCCAATCCATCAACGGCACTTGGCCCAAACAAAATTACATCGGCCAAGTCCTAAGTTAGGATTTGGGCTAAACCAAGCCCTAGTCTAGCCCATTCAAAATGTCCAATGCTGACTGGCTACAAGGCCCACAACTAGTATCTTCTCTCTCTCTCTCTCTCTCTGGTTCTCTCTGTGTGTAGACTGTAGAGACTTAACCTAAATTCCCTGAACAGACTTTCAGAACTAGCACTCACTATCCATAAAACCCTAAATTCCTATCCCCTTCCTCTATGTAAAAATTTACGCCTACATTAGTTCATACACGTATTGTACTTATAGTTGTGGAGTACAGCTACAACAATGGGAGAACCCAAGAGGAAAAGAGGACGAAAACCTAAAAAACAAGTGACAGAAGACACCATGGACTTCCAACACTCCAATTCTGGTCCCACCACCACTTCTTCCGCCGGAGATGACGACGTACTTCCCACCACCACCACCACCACCGCCGCCGCCGCCGCAAATACCAACTCAAATGCCCAAACAATCCGCCGGGGGCGCGGCCGTCCTAAAAAGATAGGAAAACACGGAGAGGAACCCGACACCGACGTCGCTGCCTCACCCGAAAGAAGAGGTTCTCGGTTAGTTGATCACAAAAGTGACTGCACGGCAAATGGTGATATGAGAAAGTTGGTGATTGCGGAGGCTCCGCCGAAGTGGGAGACCGTGGTGAAGGTGGTTCCGTCCATGGATGCGGTGGTTAAGGTTTTTTGTGTCCACACGGAGCCGAACTTCTCGCTGCCATGGCAGAGGAAGAGGCAGTATAGTTCCAGTAGTAGTGGGTTTATTATAGGAGGGAGGAGAGTTTTGACCAATGCCCATTCTGTGGAGCATCACACTCAGGTCAAGCTCAAGAAGCGCGGGTCTGATACAAAGTACCTAGCTACTGTACTTGCAATTGGAACTGAATGTGATATCGGTATAACTTAGTGCCATTTCTTCATTTCCTTTGAGCTATGCCATGATGTTGTTTGGGTTGCGTGTAAATTTTTATGTTCGGTGTTTGTTATATATGAAGTTTTTGATTGGCTAATCGTTTAGTGTCGAATGATTAAATCATTTTACATGTAATTGTAATTTGGATTATGGATTCTGTATTCCAATTCCTTGACTCAACTAGGTTCTGCGCACCCCCTTTTATTGCTTTTGTTTTGTTTTGTTGGCGTTGATTAGTCTCCCAAGAAGCGGATGGTTCACTTAGCTTAGGCTCACATCTCTCTCCTTTTTCATACCATTCTTCTGAAGTCAGTTGTCAATACAAGTTAGTATGATTTTGCGTGTTTTCATTTTGCAAACGATTTGTTTATGATATTAAGAAAAGCCGAAAGAATGTTAATACGATACCTGGTTGAAAGCTGTTGTCTTTATACCTTTTTGTTATGCCACAGCATTGCTGACGGTAAGTGATGATGAGTTTTGGGAAGGAGTTTCACCTGTTGAGTTTGGAGAATTACCTGCATTACAAGATGCTGTGACCGTTGTAGGTTACCCCATTGGGGGAGACACTATTTCGGTGACTAGTGGTGTTGTGTCGCGCATGGAGATACTATCTTATGTTCATGGGTCCACTGAGCTTCTTGGACTACAAGTAATATAATCTAGATTCAATCTTCTCCTTTTGGTTGTATGTGATGTAATGCTCATCAGCTTGAATTTTACTCTTTGTGAGATGCTTTTGCAGATCGATGCTGCTATAAACTCTGGAAATTCTGGTGGGCCCGCATTCAGTGATAAGGGCAAATGCGTGGGTATTGCATTTCAATCGATTAAACATGAAGATGTGGAGAACATTGGCTACGTCATACCAACGCCGGTAATTATGCATTTCATTCAAGATTATGAGAAGAATGGAGTGTACACAGGTGCGAGTTCTCATATTTGTCTATATATTGTTTGTAATAGTTTGTATCATGTATATGGTAACCTTACAGTCATGTATATGGTAACGTTACAGTCATGTATATGGTAACGTTACAGTCATGTATATGGTAATCTTACAGTCATTTGATTTACAACTCTGTAAGATGGTCATTAAATCATTTATATGTGGAATGCTCAAAGTGATGGCTTCTTTTTCCTGAATGTTTTGGTCATTTGCAACATTTCAGGATTCCCAATTCTTGGAGTTGAGTGGCAAAAGATGGAAAATCCTGATTTGCGGATGTCAATGGGTATGGGACCTGAGCAGAAGGGGGTCCGAATTAGAAGAATTGAGCCTACAGCTCCAGAATCTAATGTTCTAAAGCCTTCTGATGTGATCCTTAGCTTTGATGGTGTTAATATTGCTAATGATGGAACAGGTAAACCATATTTCTGTGCTTAATTTATGATTTTGTATTCTATTCATTATTCTCACATTTCGAAAATTTTCAGTTCTCTTATTTGTAGTTTGTTAGCTATCATATCATTTCCCGATACTTAGGTGACAACACATTCAAAACCTGAAGAAATAACTGCCTAAAGGTTGCTATGGTCTTCATCAGCTTAATGATTGCCCTCAACACCATAGCTGTGGCTTTATACATTGAGGCGGAACACTTTTAGACACAATTTCCAAAGATTTTCCTTTTGCATGCAATCATATTTCAATCAAGGTGTGAAGTAATTCAATCCATGCACAATCTTTGTCAATCTATGGCATATAATTTTTGGAGACTCCAAGGCTTATTCTATTTTAAGTTGAATATTTTCCATTTATACTTTTATTACCATATTCATGAAGGTGGTTATGTTACATTTCTTTTGTTAAGAATATTAGGGTAGTATGTGTAAATTGTTAATAGTAAGAGGATGTATGTGTAATTCTTATTATTGTGAGTTAGCTATAAATACAAGTGAAGTATGAGAGGTAGATTAAGTTTTTAACGACTCTCAGTTCTCTCTAATACTGTGTTAACTCTAAACTTAACATGGTATCAGAGCAATTAAGATCCTAAATAAAGAAATAAAAAATTTAGTGTGCTATCGTCGAAGACATCGTGGTGGTGAAAACGCTTGTGGTGGCCTCTGTGGACGTTGGTGGTTGTTGTATTGTCTAGTGTGGTGGTTTGGTGCTATTGTTATGGTGGCCTCTGTGGCGTTGTCGACTGTGGCGGTGTCGACTGTGGCGGTATCGACTGTGGCACTGTGGTGTTGTTGATTGTGGTGGTGTCATGGTGTTGTTGTCATTCTTGTTTGTCTCTGTGGTGGTGCTATTGCGGTGTCGTTCGTTGTGGTGGAGTTGTTCGTTGTAGTAGTGCAGCTGTTAGACGCCGCCGTTGAAGACCAGGCCTTTTGAAACCCTATCAACGAAGAAGACAAGGTCCAACCCGACTCCACGGGTCACAGGTTTGAATTATTTCTGATCCAGCCTTTTTCTTCAGTCCAAGTCCACTCAGTCTCCGGTCCAACTCACGGTCCAGCCTAGACCAGTTCACGGTTTAGCCCAGACCGGTTTACTTCAGTTGTTGATCCGGTTCAGCGGTCCAACCTTTTTCTTCAGTCCGGTTCAGCTTGTTTCCCATTGGTTCAGACCGGTTCAATCAGCATCTACTCCGGTTCAGCAGTTCAGCGAGCACAAGCTGTCCGATTTAGCCCTCCAACAGCCTTCTTTGGTCCGGTTTAGGCACCTAATCCACTGTTCCGTGCTCCTTGGTGTTCTTCTAGCCTTGGTATCATAGTTTCTCCTTTTTCCTTTGGTTCTATTATTGCTATATTATTATGGAACCCAAGAATAAAAATGATGATAGTCAAGCTGATCTTATTCCATTTATGTCACCAAATTTTTCTCCTACGGTTCTACTTAATGGTCCCATGACATCTGTTAAACTCATTGGGAGCAATTATGTTTTGTGGTCAGGATTTGTTCAAGTGTTTTTTAGAGGTAAAGGTTTTAAGAAATATTTAGTGGACACTAAACCCAAGAAAGGTACTCCTGGGTATGATAAGTGGGAACAAGAAGTTGTTTAGATTATTTAATTGCTATTGAATAGTATTGAGCCTAGTATCAGTTCTACTTTGCTTTATCTTAACATGGCCAAAGAGATTTGGGATCACTTGGCCACCATGTATTCTGGCACTGGGAATTTTACTCGGGCATATGAAGTATGCAAATAGTATTTTCGTCTGGAGCAGGGTACTCTGAGTCTTGAGGACTATTACTCTCATGTTCGGGGAGTATGTGAGGAGTTGAGGCTCTACCACTTCTTTACTACTGATGCAGCGGTTTGGCAAAAGCAACATGAGGATTTGAATGTTGTCCGTTTTTTAGTTGGTTTGAAACCTGAATACGAGTTTATTCGGTCTCAGATTTTGGGTGGCCCTAGTCTTCCATCTCTACTGGAGGTTTTCTCCCTTCTGCAGCGTGCTACCTTCTCTACCAATTCATCCAACACAGAGTCTGGTGTGCCTGCTAATCGTTCAACTCTTGTTGTCCCGAGTAGCCATGGTGACAGTTCCTGAGGTGGCTGTGGTAACCGTGGTGGTTGCGGAGGTCGGGGAGGCCGTACTAGAGGTAGTAGAGGGCGTTCATGCTCTCACTGTGGTCATGGAGGCCACACTGTTGATTATTGTTGGGATTTACATAGCAAGCCTTCAGGTGTTGCTAATTAGCTTTCTTGTTAAGATGACACCCAGACTCTTGCCGCTATACCTCGGTCCGCTCCACCTGACTCTGTGTCAGTTACTCTTACATGGGAGAAGTATGCTCAGTTTCTGTCCCAGCAGCAGACTGTCCCATCTCCCTCCACTGCTACTTTTGTCCAGTCAGGTACTTCTTCCACTTGTTTATTGTCTTCCACTTGCAATCTCTGGATTATAGACTCTGATGTTTCTGACCACATAACTAGTCCGTTTGATGTTTTTTCTACTTATCAGTCTGCTACTTTCACACGTAGTGTTACTTTTGCTAATGGTACTTGTTCTAAAATTTCAGGTTTGGGGACTACTCACTTGAGTTCTTGATATGTCCCTATCTTCTGTGTTATTTGTTCCTCAGTTTCCTTTTAGTTTACTTTTTATTAGCAAGATTACCCGTTCTCTTAATTGTTCTGTAACCTTTTATTCCTCTTATTTTGTCTTTCAGGATCTCAAGACGAAGAGGAAGATTGGTATGGGGCATGAAGCTGGTGGTTTATATTACCTTGACTTTGATTTACCTACCTAGGTTCTACAGACCTTGTTGTCTCCTTTTCAATGACATTGTCGTCTTGGACATCCCTTTTTCTAGAATTTGAAGCTTCAAGTTCCCAGTCTTAGTTATGTGTCGTCTTTGTCTTGTGAAACTTGTCAACTTAGTAAGCATCATCGTGTTTCATTTCAGTTTAGAGTCAATAATTGTGTGCTTAGTCCATTTGAGTTAGTACATTTTGATGTATGAGGTCTAGTAAAGAATATTTCATCTAATAAATATCCTTATTTTGTGACTTTTGCGGATGACTATTCTCGTGTGACTTGGTTGTTTTTTATGAAAGCTCGGTCTGAATTATTCTTTATATTTGAAATCTTTTGTAAGGAAATAAAAATTCAATATGGTTGTCGTATACGTACTTTACGTTATGATAATGCTCGAGAATATGAATCTGATATCTTTTTAGCTTATCTTAGTAAAACTGACATTATTTATCAGACTTCTTGTGCTTACACCTCTCCATAGAATGGTGTTGTTAAACGCAAGAACCGTCATTTGTTGGAAGTCACCCTTGTCCTGTTATTTCAAATGAATATTTCTTAATATTTTTGAAGTGATGTTATTTTTACTGCTTATCACCTTATTAATCGTATGTCATCCTCTGTGTTAAATGGGCAAAATCAATATTCTGTCCTCTTTTCTGGTAAGTCTTTATTTTTCCTGACTCCTAAGGTTTTTGAATGTGTCTGTTATGTTCACAATTTGGGTCCTGGGATTGACAAACTTGACCCTCGAACTACCAAATGTGTATTTCTTGGTTGCTCCTGCACGCAGTAGGGGTATCGTTGTTATAGTCCTTCTCTGCACCGATACTTTACTAGTGCCGATGTTATGTTTGAGGAATCTATTCCATATTTTTCAGTACCTTCTCAGCCTTTGGATATGGACTTTGGGTCATCTCCTGTACTCCCATCTCTTTCCTCATCTTCAGATGTTCTGCTGCCCACTGTGTTACCATCTACTTTACTTCTCCATGTCTACTCTCGTCATCCTCGCCCATTGACTGAGGTGTCTAGACCGTCTTCCTTGCTGCCCTCTAATCCTGGTACATCAGGTAATTTAGACTCTTTACCTATTGCTCTTCGAAAAAGTACTCGTTTGTGTGTTACTAATTATCTCATTACTCATTTTGTTTCATATGATATCTTGTCTTTTGTCTTCTCTTGTTTTACTTTCCAATTATCTACTATATCTATTCCTAAGCATTTACATGATGCATTATCTGATTTGGGTTGAAGTAAAGCTATGGAGGAGATAGATGTCTTACATCATAATGGGACTTGAGATTTCATTCCTTTACCTCCTGGTAAATGAACTGTTGAGTGTCGTTGGGTGTATACTGTTAAATTTCATCCAGATGGTTCTGTGGAGCGTCTCACTGCTCAGGGAGAGTATGGTAAGAGTGTATGTCAGTTAAAGAAATCTTTGTATGGTTTGAATCAGTCATCGAGGGCATGGTTTGGTAAGTTTTTAGATGTAGTTTTAGAATTTGGTCTTCTTTGATGTCAGACAGATCATTTTGTATTTCAGAGACAGATAGATGCTGGATATATTCTATTGGCGGTCTATGTAGATGATATTGTGATTACTAAAAATGATTCTGAGAGGATTGTCAAGTTAATAATATTCTTGCAGGATCGATTTCATACTAAGGATTTGAGAAAATTTAAGTATTTCTTGGGTATTAAGGTGGCTCGATCTAAACAGGATATTTGTTTATCCCCAGAGGAAATATATACTTGACATGCTAGAGGAAGCAGGTTTGCTGGGTGGCAGACCTGTTGATGTTCCTATGGATCCGAATTAGAAAGTTTTGATGGATGATGATGCACTGTTTGAGAATCTGGGTCGGTATCACAGATTGGTTGGGAAGCTCAATTATTTCACTATTACTCGACCAGATATTTCCTATGCAGTCAGTATAGTAAGTCAGTTTATATGGTGTCCTAGAGTACCACATTGGGAGGCAGTTACTTGTATTCTACGATATCTCAAACGTGCTTCTGGACTTGGACTATTATATCAAGCTAATGGACATCTTAGAGTGGAATGTTTCTTAAATGCTGATTGGGCTGGCTCTCCTTTTGATCGGAGATCAACCACTGGCTATTGTACTTTCTTAAGAGGTAATGTTGTCTCGTGGAAAAGTAAGAAACAATCCGTAGTAGCAAGACCTAGTGCTGAGGCTGAGTGTAGGGCAGTGGCGCATACGACGAGTGATTTGACTTGGTTACTACAGTTCCTCCACGAAATTGGGTTTCCAGTTCAACTTCCTTTACAGTTTTTCTATGAGAACCAGTCAGCTATCCAAATCATTGTCAATCCGGTGTTTCGCGAGAGAACCAAGTATATTGAGGATGATTGTCACTTTATTCAGGACAAGATAGTAGCTGGGGAGATTACAACTCCATTTGTGAAATCTGAAAATCAGCTTGCAGATATGTTTACCAAAGCATTGAGTCGTACATGTCTTACAGTGATTTGTTCTAAGTTTGGATTATATGATATATATAGTCCAGTTTGAGGGGGAGTGTTAAGAATATTATGATAGTATGTGTAAATTGTTAATAGTAAGAGAATGTATGTGTAATTCTTATTATTGTGAGTTAACTATAAATACAAGTGATGTATGAGAGTTAGGTTAAGTTTTTAACCACTCTCAGTTCTCTCTAATACTGTGTTAACTCTAAACATAACAGCATGTACAATTGAGTTTAGCCTCTCAGGAAATTTATAACTTTTGTCGCGATGACTAATCTTCTTTAAGTGCAGTAACCATGATTACTCTCTCTCTCTCTCTCTCTCACACACACGCACACACTCATTATTGACACCGATGAATTATGGCATTAGATGCTATTAGTTATTGTACAGACTGTATGCATTGTCCTAGATGCATAATAGTTTGTAAAATGCCTTTCTTTTTCTGCTTTTTTTTTGTGTGTGCGTGTGGATATGTATTCTGCATTGTGGTACTTGAATGCATTGTCTTTCTTATTCTTCTTCTTCTTCTTCTTTTTTTGTGTGGCATATGCATTGTGCATTGTGGTACCTGAATGCTTGTTTCCTAATTTTTTTCTTTTGGGTATATCTTTAGTTCCATTTAGGCATGGAGAGCGCATTGGTTTCAGCTATCTTGTTTCTCAAAAATATACTGGGGATAATGCTACAGTCAAAGTTCTCCGTGGTTCAAAGGTAATTGAGTTCGATATAAAACTTGCTACTCACAAGCGGCTCATCCCAGCACACAATAAAGGCAGACCCCCTTCTTATTACATTGTTGGGGGATTTGTTTTTACCGCTGTGTCAGTTCCATATCTGCGTTCAGAGGTACATACCATTATCTTTGGCCCTTCTATTCTCTCCTCATGTGTTCTGTTTTTTTCTTTCTTTTAGTCATTTTTTTATTCATTTTATTGCTTTCTTAAAGAACATGATTAACCGATTTATTATCATTAAAAGTACTCATATGAGACCATAACTATTAGGTTGATTGTATTTTTCTCATTTCTTTTATGATGGGCAGATGTGTTTCAGACAATGAATTTGCTCCAATTTATGGATTTCCTCACGGTGATGTTGCATATAATATTATTAATTCAATAAAATCTAGATTATCTTTTTTCGGATATGTATGACAATAGGATTCCTTCTTAAATTGTTGCGAGATGTATGATTATTAGAATCATCACCAACAATCTTCGGTGGTGCCCTGAATATGGCTTCTCAAATCTCTACATTCATGGCATTCAGATTAGAGAAAACCTAGAAATTACTATGGCATTGCATAAACACATATATTAAGATCAATAAACTATACTGGAGCTAATTCTCCCAATTTGCACTTGGTCCTTTGTGGTTTACTGCTGTCAAGTGCTGTATGGCCCATTTGTCAATTGATTACATTTTATGTGTCATAAAAATGAGGCCAGTTTGGTATCCAGATAACCATGAATGTAGGCAGATAAACAATCCCTATTGAAATAGAAGATCAGACTCTATTTTGCAGGATGGATTTCCCATGATAGATTTTGGATGGTTTTGTAGCTGCTATACCTGCTTGAGCCTTTTTCTCAGCAAACTATTTGGATGTTTGTATGGTTTCACTCTGAACTTGCTATATATTATTTCCTAACTCTTGTTTGCACATGAGTCCAGTATGGAAAAGACTATGAATTTGATGCTCCAGTCAAAATACTGGACAAACATCTGCATGCAATGGCGCAATCTATTGATGAACAGCTTGTTGTAATTTCTCAGGTTTGTTCCCTTTTTAATCTGTTTCGCCTTTATTTCTATTTTGATATGGGTTATTTGAGCAAAAGCTGTAGTTCAAACACACGTGTCCCTGCCAAATTTGTGTTAGGTGCTCGTGGCTGATATCAATATTGGATATGAAGAAATAGTCAATACTCAGGTTAGGGAAAAAATTGACACTATGTTTGGTGATCTCAATGTAGTGAATGAATTTTTTGGCCCTATCACTTTGCTGATTTTTTTTTTGGTCTTATTATTTTCTGGATTTGTATAGGTTCTTGCTTTTAATGGCAAGCCTGTCAAAAATCTGAAGAGCTTGGTTAGCATGGTGGAGGCTTGTGATAAAGAATATTTGAAGTTTGATCTTGAATATCAACAGGTTCTCTCTCTCTCTCTCTCTCTCTCTCTCTCTCTCTCTCTCTCTCCTTTGAGCTTCATTATCTGCCCGCTTTCTGTAGATTGCGGTCCTGAAAACTGAAAGTACAAAAGCAGCAACTCTAGGCATTCTTTCAACACACTGCATACCTTCAGCCATATCCGATGATCTCAAGACATGAAAGCTGATTATGGGGAGGTGATGGTGGTCAGTCCTTATCTCTCTTCACTTACCTTTCCTTGATTTGAGCTTCAGCAAATTCCTCATAAACAAGCTTAGTGGAGTAGATTTCTGTTTAACCTTGGGTTCGAGATGATTTTTTTCCCTTCAATCAATTTATTTTACAAATATTTATCGAAGGAAATATAGCAGGGGGAAAGTCAGTTTCAAAAAACCTACGCTTGGCTAGGTTTTTTATGTTCCTGTTAGAAACATATCAACATTATTTTCGTGTAAAACTACTACTTCCATACTACTAGATAAAATTGCTGGGGTAAAACCAATTTAAGGTTAGCTGCACCTATTGTACCTTCATAGTTGCAGCAGGCAATGTTTTGAATGTCATCCTCATATTGCATTTAGAATTTATCAAACAAATTAATCAAGTTGGAAACAAATGGACAATATGGTTGTGGAAAATGCACCAGATTACTTGGCCACTTCCTGCCATACTTTAGAAAAGATCAAGTTTGATGCATTAAGAGCACGAGTGGTGTTTCCTTTCTTTCAGTTTGTTGGGTGGTTATTGGGAGAATTAGATAGTAAAGCATATCCTTTCAAGCGAGTACTACTTGGAAGGAATGGGGGATTTCATTAATTCCTTAGATTGCAAAGTTCACCGCCTTACGATTCATGTACAATTGTTTTTGTGTGTTCATTCTCATATACCTACTATACATTTTCTGATAATTTGATTGTCGACGAATCTTTCCTTTGGTGATTGTTCCCTTTTAGGCCATTACTGTGAAGAGTGCTGTGTTCTGGCAAGGAACAAAGCCGTTGATGTTTCGGAGTGCAAGTGGCAAGGAAACAAATACTCAAATAGGACTTTGCTTCCATTCATCTGGACTCCATATCTTCATTTTTATAGCTTTGCAACAAGGGATATTTCTGGGTTGACTCCTCCAAAGTACTTGTTTCATTGTCCTCCACTAATTCCTCTTTTGCTTTCCCCCACATAACAGTATAAAACCCAACTGAGATTATTGTTGCTCCTATAACACTGCAAAACAAGAAAATGAAATTGATAGAACCTACAATGCTCCATGCAGGGGCGAAATGACATCTGTGTGCTCGTGCGCGTGTGCGACTATAAATGTGTACTTTGTAATTTCTGATTTTGGGTGTACCCCTCCCCCCCTCCTTTTTTCCACCACCACCACCACCACCACCACATCATCTGGTGAGGCATGGGGGGGGGGGGGTGGGGGGGGTTGATGGATAATGTGAGGATAATATCCGTACCTTCCAAGATAGAGAGTATCACCAAGGAACATGACTCCCGTGGCAACTGCTATGGCAATTGACAATGGCTTGAACATTGAAACATATAAAGGTCCCTTCAAGCGAATGGCCCATGTATGGACAGTATTGTTCAGACCCGATCCAAAGATACCCTAAACAGATTGAAACACCACTTTCATGCACACTTCAAACCGAGAAGGTTAACTGCTTACATAGTAGTGGCATCATTTCTACATTCACTTACCGAGCATAAAATGGAGACCAATGCCAAATCAAGTCGGATTTTCCATGCACTCGAGTCGGGTTCTGAAATTAAACCCACAATTGCTGCTAGGATGCTCACACATAAGTTGTAGAAGAAGACCACGGTGAATTCTGCCGGGTATTCTTTCATGATTTGCGCCTATAAAAAATGTCACGAAAACCCGAAAAATTCAGCTTATGTCCTGTTTTTTTTTTATTTGATAAAGTGTTCTGGGTGTCTAACCTGAACGATGTACCACAGTGGAACCAAAATATACTCAGTTGTAAGAAAAAAACTGCCTAAGACCCAGCCAGATTGTGATGAGCTTAGACGATTATGAAGGGATATGGAAGGTGAAGGAGTTGATATGAGTGTTGGTCCTTTATAAAAAGTCACCACAAATGCACCTGAGATTGATATTACTGTGCCCAGCACTTTTGCCCGACTGCTTGAGCTTCTCAATGCAACCTTTTCCATCCTATTTGAGATCAAAACAGTTATTTTTAGAGAGGGTGCAACTTCGGCGAGTTAATTTGAATTCAACTCGAATCTAACATGAAAAAATAGGGTTTAGATTGAGATTTTTAATATTTAGGTTGAGCTCGGGGTGAAAAACACCAACTCGAATTGAACTCAAAGAGTACCCAAATTGAGGTGTCAAATTACCAGATTTAATCCGAATATATAAATCAGGTTCAACCTGAATATTTAAAAATAAATATACGGGTTGAGTCAAGAGCATAAATTACAATTAGGGTTCACACTTTAACGAATCCAACTCGAATTCTAACTTAAAATTAGTCTTAATTAAGTAATTCAAACTCAACCTGAATTTAACCCGAGTTTGTCCAAATTCAACTTGAACAGTACTCAAATTAAAGTCAGGTTAGAGTCAAGGTTAAAAATTATATATTTAAGATTGTGTTAGGGTTACCCCTCAACTCGTTCAACTCGCCCGAATTATACTCCTAATTTTGGACTAAACGATGGGGGCCAACAAGGTTTAATCAACATGGGCGCAAATACATAACATTCAACTCACAAAGAAACAACCTTACTCTCATCATTGATTATTGGATTAATATATAATTAAAAAAAAAAAGGCATTGTGATGGGGATGAAACCTGAAAATGAGGGCAAATATGAAAGTGAAAGCTGGAACGAGGTTGCTGATGGCGGAAGCAAGAGTTGGAGAACCATAATTGATGCCTGTAAATCCCATGATCTGAGATGTACACCTAAACCCAACAATCGCTCAATAACATAATATCTATCAATAAGTCTTGGATAAAATTATGTGCATGGAATTATATGTAGTCGTTGGATTAGTGATGAACCCACTAATCTAACGGCTACAAATAACTTAGTGCACACTTGATTCAAAAAGATTAGAACACATAAAATGAATTATTTGTAAATACTTCTGTAAAATCATGAAAGGTTTCTCAGAGACGATATATCAGTGTACCCAATCAGCCCAAGGAGACCAATTTTGCATAGGATGGAGAAATTAAGTGGAGGAAGCACTCCTGATCTGCCAAATTTTACAATAAAACTATAGGATTAATCAAGATTAACGAATAAGGTAACAAAGCAACAAAAAAAAAAAAAAATTATCAGTGTTTTGATTGTTATTCATAGGAGAACTTTGAAGATGGTAATTTATCAGTGTATTGATTGTTATTCATAGGAGATCTTTGAAGATGGTGATCTCATGATATAACATGAGAGAGAAAAGGATATAGAGACAGAGAGTGACAGAGATAGAGAGAGAGATAGAGAGAGAAAGACCTGTGAGAGAAGAACGGTGAAGGAAGGAGAACAAGAGCAGCAACACCGTAAGAGTAAACCACAAAGACATGAGGGCTCATCCCTATGAGAGTGGCTGCTTTGTATAATGTGTTTAGGCCTACATTTGTGCACTCCATGGTCACCATGGCTGTCAATGGCAGCACATCTCTGGTACAGTACTGGCTCCCACTTGCCATCTCTCTCTCTCTCGCTCTCTCTAACTCCCACAGTACAATAGTGAGCAACAACTATTAATGAGCCAATTGTTATCGAATATAATTATTCACTGTCAATCTTAGGAGTTGTAAGAATTTTTCTGTGATCTCTATGCATCATATATATACACTGACACCCCTAATTATTTCTAACACTTTCACTACACCCCTTGTTGCTTATAAAATTACAATAACAAATCCCTTTTGATGTGACATAATATAATAGATACCCCCCTCAAGCAACACACAACAACTTCTGTGATGATGTAAGTAAACGTTTTGACCTAAACTTTCTATCTTATTCTCTAGTTAAAAAATGTCTATTTTTACTCTAAGATTTTTGCCATCTCAAGTTAGAAAACTTTGACATATTAAATGCAATCATATTAAAGTCTTCCAGGTTTAAACGAACCACAATAGTACAAATTCTTTTATACCAAAACATGAAATTAAATTTCAATAACATGGACCCACCATTAGAACTAATTTTTTTAAACATTGAACCTCACCTAAAGAAGATCGCATTTGTTGATTTTCTAAAAATATTGAACTATTTTTTATTTTTGAATTTGTTAACATCAACAAACATTATGTTAAAGAAGAGAGCTTTAAGAGGATTAGAGTTAATGTTTCAAAGTTGCCTAACTTGAGAGGACAAAAAGCTTATTATGAAAATATAAAAATTTTTAGCTCAAGTGTAAAGTAAAAAGTTTGGGTCAAAAAGTTTGCTTATATCATCAACAAAGTGACAATCGGTTGCTTGAGGGGGGCATCTATTACAATATGTCACATCACAAATTCATAATGGACGTCAGTGCAATTTCATAAATAACTGGGGTGCAGTGAAAGTGTCAAAAACAACAAGGGGTGTCAATATAATTTACCTTTATATACCATATAATATTGGTGTTTGTTTAAAACAAAGGAAAGTTTGCAACTGGCACGGCACTGCTGTTGGTGACTGGTGACTGGACAATCCTTGAGAAAATGATCCCCTACGTGGTTTAATCTTTGTCTATGTCCCAGAAGCTGATTTGACTCCTCTTCCATTTCTAAATAAACAAAGGATAAGATTACGGTACCGAAAGAGATATTTTACAAAAAAGAAATTATAACAATTTCACGTTAAATTATAATTTTTTTTAGGTGTCACTTATTTTTTTGATGTTTAAATTATAAATTTTAAAAGTCAAGTTACAATTTAAAAGGAAGAAGTTACAACTGTTCAGAAGAAGTTCATGATCGATCATGTGTATTTGTGATCGTTCATATACCCTTGATCGATCATAGACTTTCTTTGAAGAGTTATAATTTCTCTATTTTAAGTTGTAATTTTACCATAAAAGTAATAACCTTCAGCACATTATCAAAGGCGGTACCATAGACTTTCCCATAAACAAAATATCTTAATTGATTTTTTTTTAAATTACAAGTTTCGGTTCAGATAAATAAATTTTATCTTTTTTTAAAAAAACACTCCTAAATTTTTAAGATTAAAAATAAATTTAAGTTTTAGATATTCACTGGTCGAAAATAAAAAAAAATATTCTTTAATTATTTTTTCAATAAAAAAGTAACGTGGTGATGATGAGTTTAGGTCTGAACCTCTTCAGAGCCCAAGATCTTCTGGACTTTTAGAAAGCGACCTAAGTAACACTCATCCAGACAATATTTATTGGGCTCGAATTGGGTTGCGACCCAATTCTAGAGAGACTTGATGTTAACAAGCTCGGTACAATTGCTTGATCGGGATATGGGAGCATGACATAGGGCCAATTTGCAAAACCTGCAGCATAACATGTGGATAGGAGACAAAAGAACATTACTTAACGGTTCTGATGAACAAAACCCCCACAGGCAATAGAGACGGATCAAATACTGCAATCGGTAAATAGTAGAAGCAAAAAAACGTTAGGGACCATAGCTCTAAGACAAAGATAAACACATAAAGGACTACAAAATTAACTAAAAGGGGTCAACAAAATCCTAACTACCAGTTATATAAATAACTAACAATGCTCTACGGTGCACAAGGAGGGCCATTCAACAAACTACCAAGTAAAAGCTAGGCAATATCATATAAAAGACTTCAAGTCAAATACCCCATAACAACAATTTTTTCTCCCAAATAATACTTTTCTCAAAAAATGAGAGTCTCCCTTACGGTAGAAATAATCTTAGCCTTTTGGTTAAAAAAATCAATGTGATAACGTTATCTTCTCTTTGCATCATACGTATAACATATACGCTCACACTCTCACATNCCCGCTTTCTGTAGATTGCGGTCCTGAAAACTGAAAGTACAAAAGCAGCAACTCTAGGCATTCTTTCAACACACTGCATACCTTCAGCCATATCCGATGATCTCAAGACATGAAAGCTGATTATGGGGAGGTGATGGTGGTCAGTCCTTATCTCTCTTCACTTACCTTTCCTTGATTTGAGCTTCAGCAAATTCCTCATAAACAAGCTTAGTGGAGTAGATTTCTGTTTAACCTTGGGTTCGAGATGATTTTTTTCCCTTCAATCAATTTATTTTACAAATATTTATCGAAGGAAATATAGCAGGGGGAAAGTCAGTTTCAAAAAACCTACGCTTGGCTAGGTTTTTTATGTTCCTGTTAGAAACATATCAACATTATTTTCGTGTAAAACTACTACTTCCATACTACTAGATAAAATTGCTGGGGTAAAACCAATTTAAGGTTAGCTGCACCTATTGTACCTTCATAGTTGCAGCAGGCAATGTTTTGAATGTCATCCTCATATTGCATTTAGAATTTATCAAACAAATTAATCAAGTTGGAAACAAATGGACAATATGGTTGTGGAAAATGCACCAGATTACTTGGCCACTTCCTGCCATACTTTAGAAAAGATCAAGTTTGATGCATTAAGAGCACGAGTGGTGTTTCCTTTCTTTCAGTTTGTTGGGTGGTTATTGGGAGAATTAGATAGTAAAGCATATCCTTTCAAGCGAGTACTACTTGGAAGGAATGGGGGATTTCATTAATTCCTTAGATTGCAAAGTTCACCGCCTTACGATTCATGTACAATTGTTTTTGTGTGTTCATTCTCATATACCTACTATACATTTTCTGATAATTTGATTGTCGACGAATCTTTCCTTTGGTGATTGTTCCCTTTTAGGCCATTACTGTGAAGAGTGCTGTGTTCTGGCAAGGAACAAAGCCGTTGATGTTTCGGAGTGCAAGTGGCAAGGAAACAAATACTCAAATAGGACTTTGCTTCCATTCATCTGGACTCCATATCTTCATTTTTATAGCTTTGCAACAAGGGATATTTCTGGGTTGACTCCTCCAAAGTACTTGTTTCATTGTCCTCCACTAATTCCTCTTTTGCTTTCCCCCACATAACAGTATAAAACCCAACTGAGATTATTGTTGCTCCTATAACACTGCAAAACAAGAAAATGAAATTGATAGAACCTACAATGCTCCATGCAGGGGCGAAATGACATCTGTGTGCTCGTGCGCGTGTGCGACTATAAATGTGTACTTTGTAATTTCTGATTTTGGGTGTACCCCTCCCCCCCTCCTTTTTTCCACCACCACCACCACCACCACCACATCATCTGGTGAGGCATGGGGGGGGGGGGGGTGGGGGGGTTGATGGATAATGTGAGGATAATATCCGTACCTTCCAAGATAGAGAGTATCACCAAGGAACATGACTCCCGTGGCAACTGCTATGGCAATTGACAATGGCTTGAACATTGAAACATATAAAGGTCCCTTCAAGCGAATGGCCCATGTATGGACAGTATTGTTCAGACCCGATCCAAAGATACCCTAAACAGATTGAAACACCACTTTCATGCACACTTCAAACCGAGAAGGTTAACTGCTTACATAGTAGTGGCATCATTTCTACATTCACTTACCGAGCATAAAATGGAGACCAATGCCAAATCAAGTCGGATTTTCCATGCACTTGAGTCGGGTTCTGAAATTAAACCCACAATTGCTGCTAGGATGCTCACACATAAGTTGTAGAAGAAGACCACGGTGAATTCTGCCGGGTATTCTTTCATGATTTGCGCCTATAAAAAATGTCACGAAAACCCGAAAAATTCAGCTTATGTCCTGTTTTTTTTTTATTTGATAAAGTGTTCTGGGTGTCTAACCTGAACGATGTACCACAGTGGAACCAAAATATACTCAGTTGTAAGAAAAAAACTGCCTAAGACCCAGCCAGATTGTGATGAGCTTAGACGATTATGAAGGGATATGGAAGGTGAAGGAGTTGATATGAGTGTTGGTCCTTTATAAAAAGTCACCACAAATGCACCTGAGATTGATATTACTGTGCCCAGCACTTTTGCCCGACTGCTTGAGCTTCTCAATGCAACCTTTTCCATCCTATTTGAGATCAAAACAGTTATTTTTAGAGAGGGTGCAACTTCGGCGAGTTAATTTGAATTCAACTCGAATCTAACATGAAAAAATAGGGTTTAGATTGAGATTTTTAATATTTAGGTTGAGCTCGGGGTGAAAAACACCAACTCGAATTGAACTCAAAGAGTACCCAAATTGAGGTGTCAAATTACCAGATTTAATCCGAATATATAAATCAGGTTCAACCTGAATATTTAAAAATAAATATACGGGTTGAGTCAAGAGCATAAATTACAATTAGGGTTCACACTTTAACGAATCCAACTCGAATTCTAACTTAAAATTAGTCTTAATTAAGTAATTCAAACTCAACCTGAATTTAACCCGAGTTTGTCCAAATTCAACTTGAACAGTACTCAAATTAAAGTCAGGTTAGAGTCAAGGTTAAAAATTATATATTTAAGATTGTGTTAGGGTTACCCCTCAACTCGTTCAACTCGCCCGAATTATACTCCTAATTTTGGACTAAACGATGGGGGCCAACAAGGTTTAATCAACATGGGCGCAAATACATAACATTCAACTCACAAAGAAACAACCTTACTCTCATCATTGATTATTGGATTAATATATAATTAAAAAAAAAAAGGCATTGTGATGGGGATGAAACCTGAAAATGAGGGCAAATATGAAAGTGAAAGCTGGAACGAGGTTGCTGATGGCGGAAGCAAGAGTTGGAGAACCATAATTGATGCCTGTAAATCCCATGATCTGAGATGTACACCTAAACCCAACAATCGCTCAATAACATAATATCTATCAATAAGTCTTGGATAAAATTATGTGCATGGAATTATATGTAGTCGTTGGATTAGTGATGAACCCACTAATCTAACGGCTACAAATAACTTAGTGCACACTTGATTCAAAAAGATTAGAACACATAAAATGAATTATTTGTAAATACTTCTGTAAAATCATGAAAGGTTTCTCAGAGACGATATATCAGTGTACCCAATCAGCCCAAGGAGACCAATTTTGCATAGGATGGAGAAATTAAGTGGAGGAAGCACTCCTGATCTGCCAAATTTTACAATAAAACTATAGGATTAATCAAGATTAACGAATAAGGTAACAAAGCAACAAAAAAAAAAAAAAATTATCAGTGTTTTGATTGTTATTCATAGGAGAACTTTGAAGATGGTAATTTATCAGTGTATTGATTGTTATTCATAGGAGATCTTTGAAGATGGTGATCTCATGATATAACATGAGAGAGAAAAGGATATAGAGACAGAGAGTGACAGAGATAGAGAGAGAGATAGAGAGAGAAAGACCTGTGAGAGAAGAACGGTGAAGGAAGGAGAACAAGAGCAGCAACACCGTAAGAGTAAACCACAAAGACATGAGGGCTCATCCCTATGAGAGTGGCTGCTTTGTATAATGTGTTTAGGCCTACATTTGTGCACTCCATGGTCACCATGGCTGTCAATGGCAGCACATCTCTGGTACAGTACTGGCTCCCACTTGCCATCTCTCTCTCTCTCGCTCTCTCTAACTCCCACAGTACAATAGTGAGCAACAACTATTAATGAGCCAATTGTTATCGAATATAATTATTCACTGTCAATCTTAGGAGTTGTAAGAATTTTTCTGTGATCTCTATGCATCATATATATACACTGACACCCCTAATTATTTCTAACACTTTCACTACACCCCTTGTTGCTTATAAAATTACAATAACAAATCCCTTTTGATGTGACATAATATAATAGATACCCCCCTCAAGCAACACACAACAACTTCTGTGATGATGTAAGTAAACGTTTTGACCTAAACTTTCTATCTTATTCTCTAGTTAAAAAATGTCTATTTTTACTCTAAGATTTTTGCCATCTCAAGTTAGAAAACTTTGACATATTAAATGCAATCATATTAAAGTCTTCCAGGTTTAAACGAACCACAATAGTACAAATTCTTTTATACCAAAACATGAAATTAAATTTCAATAACATGGACCCACCATTAGAACTAATTTTTTTAAACATTGAACCTCACCTAAAGAAGATCGCATTTGTTGATTTTCTAAAAATATTGAACTATTTTTTATTTTTGAATTTGTTAACATCAACAAACATTATGTTAAAGAAGAGAGCTTTAAGAGGATTAGAGTTAATGTTTCAAAGTTGCCTAACTTGAGAGGACAAAAAGCTTATTATGAAAATATAAAATTTTTTAGCTCAAGTGTAAAGTAAAAAGTTTGGGTCAAAAAGTTTGCTTATATCATCAACAAAGTGACAATCGGTTGCTTGAGGGGGGCATCTATTACAATATGTCACATCACAAATTCATAATGGACGTCAGTGCAATTTCATAAATAACTGGGGTGCAGTGAAAGTGTCAAAAACAACAAGGGGTGTCAATATAATTTACCTTTATATACCATATAATATTGGTGTTTGTTTAAAACAAAGGAAAGTTTGCAACTGGCACGGCACTGCTGTTGGTGACTGGTGACTGGACAATCCTTGAGAAAATGATCCCCTACGTGGTTTAATCTTTGTCTATGTCCCAGAAGCTGATTTGACTCCTCTTCCATTTCTAAATAAACAAAGGATAAGATTACGGTACCGAAAGAGATATTTTACAAAAAAGAAATTATAACAATTTCACGTTAAATTATAATTTTTTTTAGGTGTCACTTATTTTTTTGATGTTTAAATTATAAATTTTAAAAGTCAAGTTACAATTTAAAAGGAAGAAGTTACAACTGTTCAGAAGAAGTTCATGATCGATCATGTGTATTTGTGATCGTTCATATACCCTTGATCGATCATAGACTTTCTTTGAAGAGTTATAATTTCTCTATTTTAAGTTGTAATTTTACCATAAAAGTAATAACCTTCAGTACATTACCAAAGGCGGTACCATAGACTTTCCCATAAACAAAATATCTTAATTGATTTTTTTTTTAAAATTACAAGTTTCGGTTCAGATAAATAAATTTGATCTTTTTTTAAAAAAACACTCCTAAATTTTTAAGATTACAAATAAATTTAAGTTTTAGATATTCACTGGTCGAAAATAAAAAAAATATTCTTTAATTATTTTTCAATAAAAAAGTAACGTGGTGATGATGACTTTAGGTCTGAACCTCTTCAGAGCCCAAGATCTTCTGGACTTGTAGAAAGTGGCCTAAGTAGCTCATCTAGACAATATTTATTAGGCTCGAATTGGGTTGCGACCCAATTCTAGAGAGACTTGATGTTAACGAGCTCGGTACAATTGCTTGATCGGGATATGGGAGCATGACATAGGGCCAATTTGCAAAACCTGCAGCCTAACATGTGGATAGGAGACAAAAGAACATTACTTAACGGTTCTGATGAACAAAACCCCCACAGACAATAGAGACGGATCAAATACTGCAATCGGTAAATAGTAAAAGTAAAAGAACGTTAGGGACCATAGCTCTAAGACAAAGATAAACACATAAAGGACTACAAAATTAATTAAAAGGGGTCAACAAAATCCTAACTACCAGTTATATAAATAACTAGCAATGCTCTGCGGTGCACAAGGAGGGCCATTCAACAAACTACCAAGTAAAAGCTAGGCAATATCATATAAAAGACTTCAAGTCAAATATTCCATAACAACAATTTTTTCTCTCAAAAAATGAGAGTCTCCCATAAGATAGAAATAATCTTAGCCTTTTGGTTAAAAAAATCACTCATAACGTTATCTTCTCTTTGCATCATACGTATAACATATACGCTCACACTCTCACATACATACACACTCATTGGGCTTCACCGCAGTCCAATCTAGTCGATTTCGTGGCCGTCATATCCTAAAGAAAACCCCCAAGTATGTGGTCCCATAATAGAGGTAGAAGCACAATCAAGTCAAGTGGTTGGTTACTGCTCACCTTTGAACGTATGAACTCAAAATCACAATTGCTTTTATGTGNTTATAAATTTTAAAAGTCAAGTTACAACTTAAAAAGAAGAAGTTACAACTGTTCAGAAGAAGTTCATGATCGATCATGTGTATTTGTGATCGTTCATATACCCTTGATCGATCATAGACTTTCTTTGAAGAGTTATAATTTCTCTATTTTAAGTTGTAATTTTACCATAAAAGTAATAACCTTCAGTACATTACCAAAGGCGGTACCATAGACTTTCCCATAAACAAAATATCTTAATTGATTTTTTTTTTAAAATTACAAGTTTCGGTTCAGATAAATAAATTTGATCTTTTTTTAAAAAAACACTCCTAAATTTTTAAGATTACAAATAAATTTAAGTTTTAGATATTCACTGGTCGAAAATAAAAAAAATATTCTTTAATTATTTTTCAATAAAAAAGTAACGTGGTGATGATGACTTTAGGTCTGAACCTCTTCAGAGCCCAAGATCTTCTGGACTTGTAGAAAGTGGCCTAAGTAGCTCATCTAGACAATATTTATTAGGCTCGAATTGGGTTGCGACCCAATTCTAGAGAGACTTGATGTTAACGAGCTCGGTACAATTGCTTGATCGGGATATGGGAGCATGACATAGGGCCAATTTGCAAAACCTGCAGCCTAACATGTGGATAGGAGACAAAAGAACATTACTTAACGGTTCTGATGAACAAAACCCCCACAGACAATAGAGACGGATCAAATACTGCAATCGGTAAATAGTAAAAGTAAAAGAACGTTAGGGACCATAGCTCTAAGACAAAGATAAACACATAAAGGACTACAAAATTAATTAAAAGGGGTCAACAAAATCCTAACTACCAGTTATATAAATAACTAGCAATGCTCTGCGGTGCACAAGGAGGGCCATTCAACAAACTACCAAGTAAAAGCTAGGCAATATCATATAAAAGACTTCAAGTCAAATATTCCATAACAACAATTTTTTCTCTCAAAAAATGAGAGTCTCCCATAAGATAGAAATAATCTTAGCCTTTTGGTTAAAAAAATCACTCATAACGTTATCTTCTCTTTGCATCATACGTATAACATATACGCTCACACTCTCACATACATACACACTCATTGGGCTTCACCGCAGTCCAATCTAGTCGATTTCGTGGCCGTCATATCCTAAAGAAAACCCCCAAGTATGTGGTCCCATAATAGAGGTAGAAGCACAATCAAGTCAAGTGGTTGGTTACTGCTCACCTTTGAACGTATGAACTCAAAATCACAATTGCTTTTATGTGTTTTCAATAATGTTGCGGACACTTTTTATGTTTTTAGGCATTTCACTTTCTATGGCGTCACCCTTGGGGATGGGGATGGGGAGGGGGATGGGGACGGGGATGGGGGGTTTGGTAGGCTCACCAAATGAAATATCAAAACTTTTACCAAATTTATTAAAAATTAAGAGGAACCATTTATTTGTTACAGTAGCTTGAAGACAGGTCCTAATACTCGATATCTAGCTTGAAATACAAGAATAGAAAGTAGGTTTTAAGAAGGAAAGGCGAAAGAGGAAGAGGATGAAACTTTTTGGTAAAATTTGAATTTTTTTTTTTTGGGAGGGGGGTTTATAAATGATCTTTTCTTAGTCTCAGGACTGCTAATACGTGAACTCCACTTCAGTTGGTAACCAAATTTTGGTAAAACTATCAGGCAGAATAACTTTTCTTGGAAAGAAGAAAAAAAAAAACTACAATAAGTTGAATTAGAGTTAGTAGGGCCAAAAACTTTTGTTCAACCTTGGTGTCTTCTCCCCCCCGGGTGGGCCTAGTTGTGACCAAAACCAATGTCAGACAACGAGTGTTCCTTTTACCTTTTTTTTTTTTATTAACCAATTAGGGGTATGTGGTTAAGTAACTCAATTAATCTCAAATGATTGCATTTATGTGTTGGTTTATTTGGAAATCAAGAAATGAATGGTTTTATAACCATCATTTACCTCAGCATAACACTGTCATTCATAGAGCTCTTGTGGATACCGAGGAGTTTCTATACAGCAAAGATAAACAATTACTCAAAGATGAGACAGTGGAGGTGGCTTTCCCCTGGCAATGTCCGCCTAAGGAATGGATGAAAATCAACTGTGATGGAGCATGGGTGGAGAAGATAGAGCAAGCGGCATATGGGGTAGCTATCAGAGATGATAAGGGCTCATTTATTACTGGGGATGCTCGGACCTTCACGGCTAAATCTACTCTTGTTGTTGAAGCATGTGCAGTAAGGAGAGCTTGCAGCTTGGCTTTGGAACATGGTTACCAACAAGTTATCATAGAGTCTGATTCTAAGGCTCTTATGGACACGTTGAGTAAAGGTAATGAAGATGCTTTATGGGATATTGCTACAGTTGTGCATGATATATGGGTGGTTTATGCAAGGCAGATACCCCAGTTTACCTTCCAGGCACTAAGGAGGAGCCAAAATGTGCTTGCCCACACAATAGCATCATTTGCTAGAGGGGGCAGACTTCATTCCAATTGGCTTATTGCTATCCCAGTATGTATAAGGACTGTAATTAGGAATGAGGAAAGAGATGGGGTTGGATAAGTTGTTTGTGGTTTGTAGCTGGACTGTTTTTTTGTATTAATGAATGTTTGTTTTCTGACCAAAAAAAAAAAATTAATCTCTTCTTTAATTTAGTTAAAGATAAATCATCCACATAAAGACTACAATATTCATAAAAAATTATGAAGATTTAAATTCAAAATATTTGAATTTATAATTCATCTTTATTATTATTTAAATTATCCTTAAAATTATATCGAATGTTTCGACCGGAATTAGTTTNCCTTCCAAGATAGAGAGTATCACCAAGGAACATGACTCCCGTGGCAACTGCTATGGCAATTGACAATGGCTTGAACATTGAAACATATAAAGGTCCCTTCAAGCGAATGGCCCATGTATGGACAGTATTGTTCAGACCCGATCCAAAGATACCCTAAACAGATTGAAACACCACTTTCATGCACACTTCAAACCGAGAAGGTTAACTGCTTACATAGTAGTGGCATCATTTCTACATTCACTTACCGAGCATAAAATGGAGACCAATGCCAAATCAAGTCGGATTTTCCATGCACTTNTCAAACTAATTGGTAGGAATGATAAAAAGTAGGAAAGATGAAAAATATGAGGTATACACTTTATATCCTTTAAGGATGAAAAATATGAATGATACACTTTCTTTCTTTTGTATTTGATTGGATAGATGAAAAATAAAAATGACTAATTTTTTTTTGTCCTGACTAAGATTATGGGTGACAATCAAGTCGTGTCGTGTCAGATTCTCGTTGAGTCATAAAATTATGAACCTTTTATATTTCTTGTTCATGTGACAGATCATTTCNGCTTCCATTTCTAAATAAACAAAGGAAAAGATTACGGTACCGAAAGAGATATTTTACAAAAAGAAAATTATAACAATTTCACGTTAAATTATAATTTTTTTTAGGTGTAACTTATTTTTTTGATGTTTAAATTATAAATTTTAAAAGTCAAGTTACAACTTAAAAAGAAGAAGTTACAACTGTTCAGAAGAAGTTCATGATCGATCATGTGTATTTGTGATCGNTGTAGAAGAAGACCACGGTGAATTCTGCCGGGTATTCTTTCATGATTTGCGCCTATAAAAAATGTCACGAAAACCCGAAAAATTCAGCTTATGTCCTGTTTTTTTTTTATTTGATAAAGTGTTCTGGGTGTCTAACCTGAACGATGTACCACAGTGGAACCAAAATATACTCAGTTGTAAGAAAAAAACTGCCTAAGACCCAGCCAGATTGTGATGAGCTTAGACGATTATGAAGGGATATGGAAGGTGAAGGAGTTGATATGAGTGTTGGTCCTTTATAAAAAGTCACCACAAATGCACCTGAGATTGATATTACTGTGCCCAGCACTTTTGCCCGACTGCTTGAGCTTCTCAATGCAACCTTTTCCATCCTATTTGAGATCAAAACAGTTATTTTTAGAGAGGGTGCAACTTCGGCGAGTTAATTTGAATTCAACTCGAATCTAACATGAAAAAATAGGGTTTAGATTGAGATTTTTAATATTTAGGTTGAGCTCGGGGTGAAAAACACCAACTCGAATTGAACTCAAAGAGTACCCAAATTGAGGTGTCAAATTACCAGATTTAATCCGAATATATAAATCAGGTTCAACCTGAATATTTAAAAATAAATATACGGGTTGAGTCAAGAGCATAAATTACAATTAGGGTTCACACTTTAACGAATCCAACTCGAATTCTAACTTAAAATTAGTCTTAATTAAGTAATTCAAACTCAACCTGAATTTAACCCGAGTTTGTCCAAATTCAACTTGAACAGTACTCAAATTAAAGTCAGGTTAGAGTCAAGGTTAAAAATTATATATTTAAGATTGTGTTAGGGTTACCCCTCAACTCGTTCAACTCGCCCGAATTATACTCCTAATTTTGGACTAAACGATGGGGGCCAACAAGGTTTAATCAACATGGGCGCAAATACATAACATTCAACTCACAAAGAAACAACCTTACTCTCATCATTGATTATTGGATTAATATATAATTAAAAAAAAAAAGGCATTGTGATGGGGATGAAACCTGAAAATGAGGGCAAATATGAAAGTGAAAGCTGGAACGAGGTTGCTGATGGCGGAAGCAAGAGTTGGAGAACCATAATTGATGCCTGTAAATCCCATGATCTGAGATGTACACCTAAACCCAACAATCGCTCAATAACATAATATCTATCAATAAGTCTTGGATAAAATTATGTGCATGGAATTATATGTAGTCGTTGGATTAGTGATGAACCCACTAATCTAACGGCTACAAATAACTTAGTGCACACTTGATTCAAAAAGATTAGAACACATAAAATGAATTATTTGTAAATACTTCTGTAAAATCATGAAAGGTTTCTCAGAGACGATATATCAGTGTACCCAATCAGCCCAAGGAGACCAATTTTGCATAGGATGGAGAAATTAAGTGGAGGAAGCACTCCTGATCTGCCAAATTTTACAATAAAACTATAGGATTAATCAAGATTAACGAATAAGGTAACAAAGCAACAAAAAAAAAAAAAATTATCAGTGTTTTGATTGTTATTCATAGGAGAACTTTGAAGATGGTAATTTATCAGTGTATTGATTGTTATTCATAGGAGATCTTTGAAGATGGTGATCTCATGATATAACATGAGAGAGAAAAGGATATAGAGACAGAGAGTGACAGAGATAGAGAGAGAGATAGAGAGAGAAAGACCTGTGAGAGAAGAACGGTGAAGGAAGGAGAACAAGAGCAGCAACACCGTAAGAGTAAACCACAAAGACATGAGGGCTCATCCCTATGAGAGTGGCTGCTTTGTATAATGTGTTTAGGCCTACATTTGTGCACTCCATGGTCACCATGGCTGTCAATGGCAGCACATCTCTGGTACAGTACTGGCTCCCACTTGCCATCTCTCTCTCTCTCGCTCTCTCTAACTCCCACAGTACAATAGTGAGCAACAACTATTAATGAGCCAATTGTTATCGAATATAATTATTCACTGTCAATCTTAGGAGTTGTAAGAATTTTTCTGTGATCTCTATGCATCATATATATACACTGACACCCCTAATTATTTCTAACACTTTCACTACACCCCTTGTTGCTTATAAAATTACAATAACAAATCCCTTTTGATGTGACATAATATAATAGATACCCCCCTCAAGCAACACACAACAACTTCTGTGATGATGTAAGTAAACGTTTTGACCTAAACTTTCTATCTTATTCTCTAGTTAAAAAATGTCTATTTTTACTCTAAGATTTTTGCCATCTCAAGTTAGAAAACTTTGACATATTAAATGCAATCATATTAAAGTCTTCCAGGTTTAAACGAACCACAATAGTACAAATTCTTTTATACCAAAACATGAAATTAAATTTCAATAACATGGACCCACCATTAGAACTAATTTTTTTAAACATTGAACCTCACCTAAAGAAGATCGCATTTGTTGATTTTCTAAAAATATTGAACTATTTTTTATTTTTGAATTTGTTAACATCAACAAACATTATGTTAAAGAAGAGAGCTTTAAGAGGATTAGAGTTAATGTTTCAAAGTTGCCTAACTTGAGAGGACAAAAAGCTTATTATGAAAATATAAAAATTTTTAGCTCAAGTGTAAAGTAAAAAGTTTGGGTCAAAAAGTTTGCTTATATCATCAACAAAGTGACAATCGGTTGCTTGAGGGGGGCATCTATTACAATATGTCACATCACAAATTCATAATGGACGTCAGTGCAATTTCATAAATAACTGGGGTGCAGTGAAAGTGTCAAAAACAACAAGGGGTGTCAATATAATTTACCTTTATATACCATATAATATTGGTGTTTGTTTAAAACAAAGGAAAGTTTGCAACTGGCACGGCACTGCTGTTGGTGACTGGTGACTGGACAATCCTTGAGAAAATGATCCCCTACGTGGTTTAATCTTTGTCTATGTCCCAGAAGCTGATTTGACTCCTCTTCCATTTCTAAATAAACAAAGGATAAGATTACGGTACCGAAAGAGATATTTTACAAAAAAGAAATTATAACAATTTCACGTTAAATTATAATTTTTTTTAGGTGTCACTTATTTTTTTGATGTTTAAATTATAAATTTTAAAAGTCAAGTTACAACTTAAAAAGAAGAAGTTACAACTGTTCAGAAGAAGTTCATGATCGATCATGTGTATTTGTGATCGTTCATATACCCTTGATCGATCATAGACTTTCTTTGAAGAGTTATAATTTCTCTATTTTAAGTTGTAATTTTACCATAAAAGTAATAACCTTCAGCACATTATCAAAGGCGGTACCATAGACTTTCCCATAAACAAAATATCTTAATTGATTTTTTTTTAAATTACAAGTTTCGGTTCAGATAAATAAATTTTATCTTTTTTTAAAAAAACACTCCTAAATTTTTAAGATTAAAAATAAATTTAAGTTTTAGATATTCACTGGTCGAAAATAAAAAAAAATATTCTTTAATTATTTTTTCAATAAAAAAGTAACGTGGTGATGATGAGTTTAGGTCTGAACCTCTTCAGAGCCCAAGATCTTCTGGACTTTTAGAAAGCGACCTAAGTAACACTCATCCAGACAATATTTATTGGGCTCGAATTGGGTTGCGACCCAATTCTAGAGAGACTTGATGTTAACAAGCTCGGTACAATTGCTTGATCGGGATATGGGAGCATGACATAGGGCCAATTTGCAAAACCTGCAGCATAACATGTGGATAGGAGACAAAAGAACATTACTTAACGGTTCTGATGAACAAAACCCCCACAGGCAATAGAGACGGATCAAATACTGCAATCGGTAAATAGTAGAAGCAAAAAAACGTTAGGGACCATAGCTCTAAGACAAAGATAAACACATAAAGGACTACAAAATTAACTAAAAGGGGTCAACAAAATCCTAACTACCAGTTATATAAATAACTAACAATGCTCTACGGTGCACAAGGAGGGCCATTCAACAAACTACCAAGTAAAAGCTAGGCAATATCATATAAAAGACTTCAAGTCAAATACCCCATAACAACAATTTTTTCTCCCAAATAATACTTTTCTCAAAAAATGAGAGTCTCCCTTACGGTAGAAATAATCTTAGCCTTTTGGTTAAAAAAATCAATGTGATAACGTTATCTTCTCTTTGCATCATACGTATAACATATACGCTCACACTCTCACATACATACACACTCATTGGGCTTCACCGCAGTCCAATCTAGTCGATTTCGTGGCCGTCATATCCTAAAGAAAACCCCCAAGTATGTGGTCCCATAATAGAGGTAGAAGCACAATCAAGTCAAGTGGTTGGTTACTGCTCACCTTTGAACGTATGAACTCAAAATCACAATTGCTTTTATGTGNTTAAAATTATATCGAATGTTTCGACCGGAATTAGTTTGACAAGACAACCACCATCCCCAGGAGGGATAGAACTAGGATTCTAGATCAAATGGGTCAAATAATAATATATTTAATAATTTTATTAACTAGGACAACAGTTACACAAAACTTACCAAAATTAACTTTAACTCAAGTAATATTATAAAAATTAGTTTGCGTAATAAAATTCAAACTAATTGGTAGGAATGATAAAAAGTAGGAAAGATGAAAAATATGAGGTATACACTTTATATCCTTTAAGGATGAAAAATATGAATGATACACTTTCTTTCTTTTGTATTTGATTGGATAGATGAAAAATAAAAATGACTAATTTTTTTTTGTCCTGACTAAGATTATGGGTGACAATCAAGTCGTGTCGTGTCAGATTCTCGTTGAGTCATAAAATTATGAACCTTTTATATTTCTTGTTCATGTGACAGATCATTTCAAGTTCCTGTTAAATTATAATCAAGTTCGTGTCATAAAATTTATATCGAGTTCGAATCATGTAAACGTGTTGAGTCGAAAATTTTCACTCTTAGTTAAGATGGAAAAAATATGTTTTTTAATTTAAAATTTTAATATATATATATATATACATATTTTATCATTATATTTTTATATTAAATTAATGTATACATAATATATGTATATATTAAAAGATATATACACAAATAAAATACATCTCAACACAAATAATTAAATTTTCATCAACTTTCCTTTCGATTTTGGAGGGATTGATTTTAGTGAGTTAGAAGGAAAGTTAATTCATGTACTTTTCCATCTTTCTTATTTTCCTTCCTTACCAAATGTGATGTTTTATTTATCTCNTAAAATTACAAGTTTCGGTTCAGATAAATAAATTTGATCTTTTTTTAAAAAAACACTCCTAAATTTTTAAGATTACAAATAAATTTAAGTTTTAGATATTCACTGGTCGAAAATAAAAAAAATATTCTTTAATTATTTTTCAATAAAAAAGTAACGTGGTGATGATGACTTTAGGTCTGAACCTCTTCAGAGCCCAAGATCTTCTGGACTTGTAGAAAGTGGCCTAAGTAGCTCATCTAGACAATATTTATTAGGCTCGAATTGGGTTGCGACCCAATTCTAGAGAGACTTGATGTTAACGAGCTCGGTACAATTGCTTGATCGGGATATGGGAGCATGACATAGGGCCAATTTGCAAAACCTGCAGCCTAACATGTGGATAGGAGACAAAAGAACATTACTTAACGGTTCTGATGAACAAAACCCCCACAGACAATAGAGACGGATCAAATACTGCAATCGGTAAATAGTAAAAGTAAAAGAACGTTAGGGACCATAGCTCTAAGACAAAGATAAACACATAAAGGACTACAAAATTAATTAAAAGGGGTCAACAAAATCCTAACTACCAGTTATATAAATAACTAGCAATGCTCTGCGGTGCACAAGGAGGGCCATTCAACAAACTACCAAGTAAAAGCTAGGCAATATCATATAAAAGACTTCAAGTCAAATATTCCATAACAACAATTTTTTCTCTCAAAAAATGAGAGTCTCCCATAAGATAGAAATAATCTTAGCCTTTTGGTTAAAAAAATCACTCATAACGTTATCTTCTCTTTGCATCATACGTATAACATATACGCTCACACTCTCACATACATACACACTCATTGGGCTTCACCGCAGTCCAATCTAGTCGATTTCGTGGCCGTCATATCCTAAAGAAAACCCCCAAGTATGTGGTCCCATAATAGAGGTAGAAGCACAATCAAGTCAAGTGGTTGGTTACTGCTCACCTTTGAACGTATGAACTCAAAATCACAATTGCTTTTATGTGTTTTCAATAATGTTGCGGACACTTTTTATGTTTTTAGGCATTTCACTTTCTATGGCGTCACCCTTGGGGATGGGGATGGGGAGGGGGATGGGGACGGGGATGGGGGGTTTGGTAGGCTCACCAAATGAAATATCAAAACTTTTACCAAATTTATTAAAAATTAAGAGGAACCATTTATTTGTTACAGTAGCTTGAAGACAGGTCCTAATACTCGATATCTAGCTTGAAATACAAGAATAGAAAGTAGGTTTTAAGAAGGAAAGGCGAAAGAGGAAGAGGATGAAACTTTTTGGTAAAATTTGAATTTTTTTTTTTGGGGAGGGGGGTTTATAAATGATCTTTTCTTAGTCTCAGGACTGCTAATACGTGAACTCCACTTCAGTTGGTAACCAAATTTTGGTAAAACTATCAGGCAGAATAACTTTTCTTGGAAAGAAGAAAAAAAAAAACTACAATAAGTTGAATTAGAGTTAGTAGGGCCAAAAACTTTTGTTCAACCTTGGTGTCTTCTCCCCCCCGGGTGGGCCTAGTTGTGACCAAAACCAATGTCAGACAACGAGTGTTCCTTTTACCTTTTTTTTTTTTATTAACCAATTAGGGGTATGTGGTTAAGTAACTCAATTAATCTCAAATGATTGCATTTATGTGTTGGTTTATTTGGAAATCAAGAAATGAATGGTTTTATA